GTGGTCAAGAAGCCCAAGGCCCCACAAGAAGCGCGATCGGGCGCGAGCAGCATGTCGGTGCGATCGTGTCGGCCAACCGGCTCAGCCTCAGCGGCGAGCTCGGCGCGCTCTCCAAGACGTCGAGCAACCCGTTCAAGAAGAGCACGAAGAAGACTAACCTTTGCATTGTAGTCGTCTTCTCTCCGTAGGAATAGTAGAGTTTGTTTTCCCGCCACACAATATTGTCGATCCCAGGTGCGCAATTGTTGACGGGCTGCATCGTATGCGCACGCGCGAGTCAACAATTGCTCTCGAGTCGTCGTTCTTCTACACGACGACAGTAGCCAAGCGTAGCGATCAACTAGTCGAGTTCCTGGACAGTCGAGACGACAGCACCGTCCGTGGGAAGGTGCACCATCGGTCGATAAAACTCGGGCAATAGCGACCTAATTATCCCAGCCGTCCGAACGATGGTACAGTATATATCAGGGTACATATACTAGGTACCTGCTAGGCATCTCTGCTCCCATCTGGGCGATACGAAGCGGTCTTGTATACGGCCGCGTGGCACACTGTCGGAAGGGTCCATCGGAAGCCAGGGGTGTACTGACGCTTCGTGACCTGAAGGGTCCGTATATTTCGATTGGCTAGTTTTTGATATTGGATGCAATTGTCGACTGGGGTGGCCAAGGCAACAATTGCAGTGCCGCGGCGAGAGCGCGCATTTTGCAATTGCCATGGACGGTGCGCAAGTGACTTGTCTGATTGCGTCGGTCGTCGCCGCCATCAACGCCCACGCCTTGACGGCTGCGGACGAGCGCGCGCTCACCATCACGGTGACCGACGGCGTCGTCTCGATCGAAGCGCGCAACGCGGCGTGCTCGGTGGCTGGCTGCTCCAAATTTGCCAAGCTGCACGGCCACTGCATTGCCCACTGGCACACGCAAGGCTGCCAGAGCCCGCGGTCGCAGGCGGCGGCCGAGCCGCCGACCATGAGCCCGAATGGAACGACGCCAACGACGCGCATCGTGTGCAAAGCCAAGCCGGCGCCGCCCACGCGCATGTGCAAGACGCCGGGGTGTCAATCGTACGCGCGGCGGTTCGGGCGCTGCTCGCGCCACGGCGGCGCCAGTCTCTGCACCGTCAAGGGCTGCTCGACGCCGTCCCAGACCGGCGGGCGCTGCCGCGTGCATGGCGGCGGGAGTCAGTGCAAGGTCGCCGATTGCACGACCTTTGCGCGCCTCCACGGGTTCTGCCTCGAGCACTACGAAGAGACGTTGAAGCAAGCTGTGAAAGCCGGCGACGACTAGATATTCTGGTCAATATTTAATATATTTGGAGTACCGTCGTGCAATATGGAACGTGCATTCGATATTCCGACCACGCGACCAATGGGACGGCGTGGTTTTTCGAACACAGAATCGTTTCAGCAATAAGCTGGCGCGGCCCGCGATGGTCCAGCCGAAGGCAGATGCGATGAGCGCGCCGAGTGACTTGGTGCACTCGAGCCAAAGAGACGCGCTGCGTTGCGTCGCCACCAGCGTTGGTGGCGCTCGTGGGAGCGTGCGAAACCAGTATCCCTATCTGTTCCGACCAATTGAAGTACGCTCATACAAAATTCAAGTGCTTTCTCGACCCGGCAAAGAGCTGATACTTTGCCGTTGGAGCTCGGTGCGGTCTAATGCGGGCTCAGTATACGCTGTCTCTAAGCCCTATTGATGAGAGCGCTGGGATCCCACCGCCTTCCAGTAGTATGGAGTACTACACTGTAGCAAGAGTAGCTGCCATTTTGGTGCTTTCAACTTTACACGGTAGGGAAGATCGCGAAGAAATAAGAACGTAGTTTCAAGGAACGCAGTCGGACGCAGCTTCTTGAAGCCTAGCCTCTTGCATTGTCGTACGTGCAAGGGTCTTGCTCCGAGCCAACGCAGAGATGACCTTCGCGCCAAGAACTAGCACGAGGTTCGATTCCGCAAAACCATTTCTTTCTTTTCGGTTGTCATGATCTTTTTCAATCAAGTCGACGCGCGCCGCTGCATGCAGCGTATATATATCCGTAAAGCACAAATATGCCGGCTTTGACGAGCGCGCGGTAGGACCCTTGCCGCCCACGAGCAGCCCAGACGGCAGCCTTGCGCGAGTGGCCAGCAAGTCAGTTCCACATTGGCTTCGAACTACGGATATATCCGAAGATCGAAGGCATAATGCGAGTTTGATTGGCCAAGCGGCGGACTTCCGTGGATCGCAAGAGGACCTACATTCCATCCCACTTGCAAGAAGCACGAGGAAGAGACTCGAGATGGACCGGTCCATGCCCCCGCTCCCGCCCGCCGAGCCGCGCCGGGGCGTCCTGCAGACAGCGGCGCCGCGCAAGTCGATCGACTCGATCGAGGTCTCGGCGACCGGCTCCTGGTCCAAGCACCCGCAGCTCTACATGCAGCGCGTCTACTGCGCGCTCGAGTCGTCACGCAAGTGCGTGGCCACGTGGACGTGCAATGGCACCGCCTTCGCCGTGCTCGACATCCCGGCCTTTGAAGAGGAGATCCTCACGGTCTACTTCAAAGGCATCCGCTTCCATAGCTTTGCGCGCATCCTCAACGGCTACGGCTTTAAGCGGGCCAAGCGCAAGGACGGGACCGCCTACGACTTTCAGCACCCGCAATTTCGCCGCGGCAACTGGAAGAACCTCCCGCGCCTCGCGCCCAAGCGCAAGCCCGTCGAGGAAGTCATGGAGAAGCGCGTCGAAGACCTCACGATCCTCTGCGGCGAACTGCAGAAGAACCTCAAGGAGATGCGCAACGAGATCGGCCGCCTCCTCCAGGAGGAGGAGGAAGAAGAGCAGCACGAAGAGCGCCAGCGCCGAGCAGCCCAAGCAGAGCGCGGCCACCACCGCGATGACGATGAAGAGGAAGAAGAGGATGGCGAGGACGACGAGGACGACGAGGACGACGAGGACGAAGGTGCGTCAGTCGCGTCGTCGTCGTAGCCGCCGAGGCCTTTATCTATAGTAGTTTTTGTGTGTTTAAAGTGTGCGTCGCATCAATGTCTCGGCGCCTCTCGACGCTGGCGACATCAACGCGTCTGGTCGCGTCTGGGCTCGTCTGGGACGTAGTTCGTCCAAGCGGGAAGGTCGCGGGTACGTTTCTATGCAGCCATCGTCGCGTCGAGCGATCCAGCATGACCGGCGTCTCGTGGCCAAGTCCATCGCAGTGTCTGACCACCAGCGAGTTTGGTTTCATGCACGCTGCCAGCGCGTCAAGACGGTGCAGATTTCTCCCAGATGCTCCAGTAAGCGCCACTAAGATCTATGAAGATCATAGTTTACCTAGAGCTGCCATGCTGCGGCCATGGCAGCTTGGTGGTGGATCGACAGCGCGATGATGTCGAGCGTCGTCATCTCGTGTTGGGAGGTGCAGCATGCTGTCCGTAGCGAGGTCATTTCTGTGGTCAAGAAGCGCTGGAACCGGAGATAGTACGCGCGGGTGGTCTTTTTATATTTGAAAATTGTCTATTCTGGTCGTGTCCATAACGAAGCGATCGAATTGGACGAGGAAGAGACACTCTCCGCCTCGTCTGTCGTCGCGTTGTCATTGAACGCCGCCTCGAGCGCCAGCCAGTCTTCTAGCAGCGACACGAGTTCACCGCGCTCGAACTCTGAGAGCTCAACGGGGTCGGCCAACGGCCCGAAGAGCTCTGTCTGTGGCTTGAAGCGGTGGCGCCAACAGACGCCGCGCGCCCGCGCGTTCGCACTGCACGTCGGGACAAGGCACGGCTTGCCGCCGCCGTGTTGAATGCAGCGCCGGCGCAAGTGGGCGGCCTTGGTGCACCCGCTGATCGTGCAGAGCGCCGACTCGGGGGCCCGCCCGTGCTTGGTGCAGAAGAGACCCGACCGCGCGTTGGCCGAGCACGTTGGGTGCTGGCACGTTCGCTTGCCGCCATGGCGCACGCAGAGATGCCGGGCGTAGACTTGGTTTACGCAGTCGGGCACGCTGCAGACGCTTCGAAACCGATGCAGTTGGCACTTGTCGGTGCGCGGGGCAGCGAGGTTGACGCAGCGCTGGAACGAGCAGTGGACGAGCGCCATGCTATTCGAAAATGACGTCGCCGACAACCAGACCAAATGGCCGTATCAGGCTCAGGTGGCACCCACGACAAGGGACACATGGTCGTCCAGGCGCGCTGACGCATCCGATGAAGGCCCACGGAGGTCCATGCTATGACTTCTTGCATTTACGGAGCGTATCGTGTGGCAGGCGAGAACGCTGGACAAGAAGAATGGTATTCCTTCGACTTGGCAGAAATCCGTTGGCGCGTTGTACTGGCTGGTCGTCGCTGTCAAAAATCATATCTGAGTCGTCTCATGCACTATCGCCTGGTCAAGCACGGCACCTGTCACTCTAAATGGTGTCCCAACAACTAAACTCAGACGTAACAAAAACTAGTCCCGCGTAGCTACGGTAGCACGTGCCAAGGGCAAAGTGGCAAAGGGTGGCACATAGCCGACGCGCCTACGCGTGCACCGACCAGTGGTGCACCGACTGTGAAGGCGTCCGATTGGAGGGCCTGCTCGTTTGCGTACACTTGGTCTGTCGCAGGCACCACGCAGTCGACGCAGAGCACATTGGCCTCTTGAACCCTCCGCTGCACGGAACGATCGAGTGAATGGATTCCCAAGGCCCTAAAAGATTGATGGCCTTGGTACCACACACGTATCTCGTCCGTCGCACGATCCCACACCACAAGCCTACTCCGAGGCTCGCCGCAGGATTGCGTGTCGTCCAGGGAATGCTTTTGTATTTTCTTGGACGTCATCGACAAGACGAAGACCATTACCCACGAGCCGCCTTGTAATTGGCGCCGATAGCCAACCAACAACCCATACCTCGACAGGCGCTGCACATTCCATTGGCCCTCTGCTCGCGCATCGAATTGCGTGTCCTTTTTCACGCCATCTCCATCTGCTCGCGGATGCAGGCCTCGCGGACGCAATTCAAACTGGAAAGCGACACAGCGGCTATGGCACAATGTTGTTGGTGATGTGCTGAAACTGGTCGTATCTACGACAGAGCATATCAATCCTCATCCATGCGAGGATCGCATACCGGCGGTAGCCAAAGCTGTTGAGACTGCGCCGAACGAGCTTCATCACGTGCGGGATCACTTGCTCCGGCGTCAGCTCGAGGGCAAAGAGTTGCTTGGTCTGGAAGAGAATGTCCCGCGGGTTGCGGTGCAGAAAGCACGGGCACGACGAGTCTTGCGCCATGATCGCAATCATCATGAGGATCGTATCGACGTTTTGCTACGCCATCGTCAGGAGCGTGTACAATAAGACAATATGCAAAGTGTCTACCCGCAGCGCCAAAAACCCTTGGATGAGCAGCGTCACATACTCGCGAAAGTACTCCGACTGGCTTCCGCCCATGGCGTCGACCATCTCGGTTGTGAGTTTGAACGGCACGCGGCGCTCGAGTGAGAAGCGGCCACCTACACGGAATGAGGCATGAGCCTAGATCGGCCTAGAGATAGCGACCGACCTGGCTGGATGCCAAGGATAAAGCCGTAATCAATGTGGATGAGGTGCCCGTCCGAGTCGAGCATGATGTTGCCGTTGTGCCGGTCCTTGATGCGCAGGATGTAGCACACGAGGGAGTAGGCTGCCATCGACTTGACAAAGTTGTTCATCGCCGTCTTGTACGCCGGCGTGTCGGCCGTGCCGTACGTGTGCACAAAGTGCTGGTTGAGGCTCACGTACCCCGGGGTGCCCTTGAGCGACGAGAGCGACGTCGCGTTGCGAATGACCTCGATGATGCCTGTCGACGCCGACGTCGCAATGATGCCGTACGGGAGGAGCCAGAGGTCGAGCTCGGCGCTCGCGAAAATATCGCGGAACTGCCGGATGAGCTGGAGGCAGAGCACTTCTTGACGCAGATCGTCGTTCGACTTGACGATGAGCGCGCTGCAGTCCCAATGGTCGGGAAACTGGCACGCAAAGCTCGACGATGCCAGAAGGCGCTTGCGCTTCGAGTCAAAGTCTTCGCCAAACATCGACTTGACCGCGAGCTGCCGGTTGCGGCGCTTCTCCCGAATGTACTCGCACATGGCCTCGACCTGGCTCTGCAGCTCTTCCCACTGCGCAAACGTCTCGTCGCGGTCCGCCGCCTCGGGCGCCACGTGTCGCAGAATCGCAGAGTCGACCAGCTGGAGCAGCTCGAGCGTCTTCTCGGGCCGAAGGCGGTCAAAGCCCGTGACAAGCTCGCTCACGTCCGTGTCTTCGCGCTCGAGGGACCGGTTGGCGTTGGCGACGCTCGTGAAGCGGCTCGTGGTGCCCCGCTTCGTGTGCAAAATGGTCGACGCCGAGCTCCCGCCTTCCTCGGGCTTGACCGTGCATACAAAGAGCGTGGTCGCGTCGTTCGTAAAGAGAACCGGCTCGTCGTGGTGCTGGACGTTGACTAAATTTTTACGTCAGTAGAGTCATACAAAAGATATCAAGAGACCGGGCTCGATGAGTTCGTTGGTGAGGAGCTCGCTGCCAAGCCAGAGCGCGTGCGCTTCGTTGTGCGAAATGCCCGACGATTGCATCCACTCGATGCACTCGCGGCCTGTAAATGAGTAGACGTCTTCGTACGGCTGTACGTGCAGCCCCATGCGCGCGGCGATCGCTTCGACCGTGATACGCCCAAGCACGACCGTCTGGGACACTGGTGGCGTCGCGTCGCTTGCCTTGGAGTTGCTGTCTTTGCTTGTCGGTGCTTTCGGCGGCTTGGAGAGGAAGAACGCCATCATCTTCATGGCAATCGTCTCGAGCTGCTCGTACGTCGGCTTCTCCGCGTCTGTCGGCATCAACTCGAGGCGGATGCTGCCGCGCTGACGCTGGAAGCTGTCCGACTTGGTCCGCCCCTTCTCCTACGCACGCGCATAGCGTTCATCGCACAACACAATCCGAGACCATACCGTCGCGCTGCTCTTCGGCGGCTCGTCCAGCACCTGGATGAGCTGCTCCAGATGGAGTGGGTTGCCGCTGCTGCAGAGACTGCCCGACCGGCGCATGCGGCCGCTGCTGCCGAGGTTCCCGATGGGCAAGGGCGGCGCGTGGGCCATGTTCATGTCGACGCTGCCGTCGACGCTCTCGTCGTCTTCCTCGTCTTCTTCCGAGAGGGGCTGGACTGCCTCGATGCGGTGGAGGCTGCTCATAATGTTGTCGTGGCGGAGCACTTGGCCAATCTCGTCGTGCCCGAGCGACGACGAGACGGGTGGCGGCAGCGCGGCCGACTCCTTCTCTTCGTCCGTCAGCATCGACTGCGCGGGCGTGAGCCAGAGCGTCTCGGGCACGACCGGGAGGTTCTCCACTTCAAACCACACCATGGTCGGTGCGCGCGCCTTGGTCGTAAACACGGCGCCTTCATAGAGGCAGATGGACACGAGACGCTGGAGCGGCTCGTCGCACGTGCCCAGCGGGTAGAACGCGTGGTCGGGCAGCGTCAGCTTGGCGAGCTCTTCGGGCAGCGCTTCCTTTCGGTTCTTTGGGGGCAGGAAGCGCAGCGCTTCGGCCACGTCGCCAAGGCCATCGATAAACTTGAGCTGCGTCGCAAAGACGCTCTGCTCCATGGACGGGTGGCGCGGCGTGATCTTCATCTTGTTCAACGCCGGAAACGACCAGTCGCACGGGAGCACGCAGTTGGCGACACCCGCGTAAATGGGCCCGAGGAGGAGCGCGCTGTTGGTGTTGAGCGAGCTGCTGCCGTTCGAGGGGGTGGCCGCAGGAAAGAACCGCGCGGGGCTCGCAAGAAAGTCGGGTGTCACCGCGTTCAAGCCTTCGTCGTACTGCTGCAGCGCCAAGAGCCGGTCAAAGTACGTCTGGATGAGGTCCGTCTGGATCGGCATCGTGCGCAGGTCCGTGTCGGGGGCAAACACAAACGCGTGGGCGCCGTCTTGGTGGTTGATCTATCGAAAAAATCGGTTTAAAATCCGAAAAATGCGCCAAAAAGACGGTACCAGCATGTGCAAATTGAAGAGCGCGAGCTTGGACGGCGCAAACCGGTTCTTGAGGTACTCGGGGATGCTGAGCTCTGTCTGGCCAAAGCCCCAGCCGCACGAGTCGTCGATCGTCGCGCGCATGAGCCAGTGAATGGACGTCGCGAGCCGCACGTGGTAGGTCGCCGCCGTCATGAGGAGGCGCAGGAGGAGCGTCCACTTGACAATATGGGCGTCGTACTCGGTGGACGCCCAGAGGTGAAAGAGCTGCGGCAGGAAAAACTCAAAATCGGGCATATGGGATGCGCTGAGCGTCAGGAGCTTTTGCACAATCACGCGGTAGACCTCGTCGCTGTCTTTTCGGTGCAGATGCAGCGCCTGAATCGCGTCCGAGACGCCAAAGTCGGGTTCGTGGATCGCCTCTTGGACCGTTTGGAGCATGGCCATGTCTTCGCTCGACAGCTTTGGCTTGCGCTGCGAGAGCCGCGGCGAGTTGCGTTGGTGGCGGTTCTTAACAAAGACCTGGAGCACGCAGCGGAGGAGCTGGATGAACCGGTGGACGCGAAAGCAGCGCGTGCACTGGCGCTGCGGGCCCGTGAGCGTCGGCAAGTGCGGCAGCGGCGCAAAGTGGTAGCTGTGGTCCGAGCAGAGACTGTCGCCGCAGTTGCGGCAGTGGTGCTGGCGCTTCGTGTTGTCAAAGCGCACGGTGCACTTGGGGTGCGCGCACGTGGGCGACCCTTGAATTTCGGTGGTTTTTCCTTCTCCTTGTTGGGCCGGATGAGCGTGAGGCCGCCGGGCGACGCCGCGAGGAGCGACTGCGACTGCGGGAGGAGCGCCGCGTCGCGCATCTGCAGCTGCGCCGCGTCAATGGCTTCGATCGCATATAGCGTCCAGAGCTGCTTCTCACTCTCGCTGTCGGCCGCGACGTTGAACGTGGCTTGCGACGTCACGAACCGGAACGCGTTCCGGTACAGATGCATCATGCCCTTCCCGTCCCAGTCGTCAATGCGCTGGACCTCGGCCTCCATGTGCGCGTTCGAGAGGTCGCGCGACATCTCCTTCGTGTAGAAGCGGTACAAGAGGACGCCGACGAGCCGGCAGTAGTACCGCTTCATGCGGTGGATGCCCGGGCCGTGCTCGCGCATGTTGAGAAAGCCCGCGAGGCCGATCGCGCTGATCTCGGTCGAGCTGCCGACGAGGCCAGAGCCCTGCGCGATCTTCTCGGAGGCCGTCATGCGCGACGGCGACTCGGCGTACGACGACGGCGTCCGCGACGACGACGGCGGCGATGGCACGAGGTCTTCGAGCAGCGCGGCCGGCGCCGAGTTGCGCGAGACCATCGTGGGCTCGTCCATGAGGAGCGTGTGGATGGCCGGGATCGCGGGGACGGACCCGGGCCGCGTCTTGGCCTTGGTCGGCGCGTCCATCTCGTCGGCCATGCTGCGAAATCCCGTTGTTGCAAAGTTCGGGTAGGGGAACCTTTGAGAGTCGATATTGCGTGACGTCGCAGTGACGTCAATCGTGAGTAATTGGCTTTTTGTATTGTTGATTGCCGTTTAACAGAGCCCTTCGACAGGTTTTTTTAAAAAACGTGTGTATTTATAGCGGGACGATTCGTTTATAGAGGTTTATGCGGTCGGCGACCGGAATTACGCGCGCATTTGTGCTCGAGTGTGCCCGAAGGCAGCAACGACATGTCTGCTTCGACCTCTTCCTAGTCATTCAAGCGATTCGAGACAAATGTATGCACGTACGGCTGCAAGGGATACGTAATTGCAAAGCACAATAGGCTGGAAATGGGGCGGGTGAAGGATCGAAGCCGGCGGACAGAGGCGGCCCAGCGTCGCAGATTCCACGATCTTGTTCGTGCAAGGACTTGTCTCTTTTGAATCATATAACGAGACACTGAGCTGCGTCGCCACGTTGTTGGCTAGAAACACTCGACTACAATGGTATTATAATACCAGATGAGCTTCTGGTGAACGCTGCTTCCCAGCTCCGAGGTGCGATTTCGGTTCGACATCACAAAATTCATACCAAGTCGCAAGGTGTGAAGCAGTCGCGGATAGCGTCGCTGTTGCAACACTGCGTTGCAACGGGTCGTCTGCGTAGGGGCTCAGCAGCACCTCAAGCGCGACCGAGCGTCCGACCAAATGGTGCGCACTCGACTTTCACGTCGTGCTAAGTACGGTATAGTTGGTACGGTACTAGAACCGAGTAGTTAGTGGATGTAGAAAGGTCTCGTCGACGGATCTTCCAACAGGCCTGGTCCTTAAGCTAATGAAGGGAGCGATCTGTCCTGTAAAAATCAATGTACTGTTCGACCCAAGCGGTGCGACGGCGTTAAAGCCACATATTATTACCTTCGCGTTGATCAGGGGTAGGGCGAAAGGCTAGGAATAGCCAACGTGTCACTTGCCGGTTTCAAGGGCCAGCATGCAAAGGAGCAATTGTTGTATTCCCTTGCCAGCATGGCACAAGACGTCTGCACTGATGGAGCTTGTGGAGCCACACCTTGGATACCGCCAACGACGTGTGTCAAGATGTGCAGAGCTAGTCGACCACCTCTTGTCCAGTCGGTGGAGTCCAGCGTCACACGCAAGAGGGGCGGGGTTCGAGCCCGTAAGTGCTGTCCGTTTCTTCTCTTTCCCATTGACCTTGGCATCGGAACGATTAAGGTGGTTCTTGTCAACGTGCATTAAATGACACTACTTGTACTTTATAAACACAACGGGGAGGACGCTAGGCGGCGGCGGTGACGCGGGTGCGCGCTCGTCGCTGCTGCGAGTGTTTCGAGCAATGGCCCTGGAAGCGAGCGAACGCCTCGCACCCGAGGGTCTTACAGAGGGCGCCGCCACCGTGAATGCGGCAGCGACCGCGCGACTGTGCCGGTGTCGAGCAGCCGTCGACCTCGCACAAGTTGACGCCGCCATGGCGCGAACACCGACCGAGGCGCCGCGCGTACGAGTAGCACCCAGGCTCTTTGCACGCGCGGCTTGCATGTGCGATGGTCGTCTTCAGACGCGTCTCGGGGCTCGGTGGGCTTGTTGGTTTTGAAGCAATCGGCTGTGGAGGAGGCAGCGCGTCCCGTCTTTGGCGAACCGCGTACAGCAGTCTACGGCGCACAAGAGCAACATACGCCTCGGCGCCAATGGGCAACTGTTGTCCGAGGCGCTTCGTACGCAGGCGCTGAAACGATGCGGCTTGAAATAGACGCCAATGAGAACATCTCGTTGCGACGAGGTAGTACGTGGATAAGTATTTCTCCATCTCGTCCGCGAGCTTTAGGCCCTTTGAAGACAGATAGGAGAGCAGTTCTAGGTACACCCACCACGTCCACGATTGCTGTCGCTGTCTTGCATCGCTCAGTGCACTAAGTTTTAGCTCGTGGGACCAACAGGCGGTGGTACAAATCGCCGAGCTCGCTGCTTCTCCTGCGGGACGACGCCGGCAGCTCCTGTCGACCATTCGTAGGAGATGCGCGATCCGATTCGTATTTCATATCTATGTGCCATCAGTATACAGTAACTCCTCAAGACTTCCATGCCCCCTCGGGCGGGGAAGGAGACACAAGGCACGAATAAGTTCAAGTGTATTCAGGCTATAGAGTGGGGTCGCTCGGCTCCCGAGGTGCGGCGTGGCGAGAGCAGCAGCCTTGGTAGCGTGCGAACGCATCGCAGCCCGCCACCTTGCAGTGCTTGCCGCCACCGTGGGCGCGGCAATAGCCGCCAGTCTGCGCGGGCGTATGGCACTCGTGCACAGCACACGGCTTGGCGCCGCCGTGGCGCGAGCACCGGCCTCGACGCCGCGCGTACGACGTGCATCCTGGCACTTTGCACATGCGGCTGGGCTGGACTTGGCAGAGCATGTCCCAGGAAATGGTCTACAAGAGAGAGCCTCAATTGTAATGCCATGATAGACCGTAGGCGTACGACGCTCATGGGGGCTGGACGAGGCGTGCGTGCTGGCTTGCCGAAGAATGCACTGCAGCCGCGCATGGAGGAGGCAGAGCTGGCCGACCTTGGCATACCGCGTACAGCGCTCGATGGCACACCGGTGTAGCATTGGAATTTGGAAATGATGACGTGTGCTCAAAGGCCGCTGGGCATCAACTGCCCGATGATTGCCTGATGATTGTGAGGACTGTGGGACGACGATTGCTCATCCGTGATAAATCGGTTCCACCTCGACGTTCTGCGCCCATGGCAAGCCAGCGAGGGTCGGAGAAGTCGCTGGTGGAGATGCACCCGTGAAGGAATGGTCGCAACAGTTAGTTGCAATGACGCGTCGTAATCTTTATCTTCTTCAATATATACGGCGATTGTCCGCGGACGCTGCTGGTCGATCAAGTAGCTTGACGATGGACCACATAGAAAAAGAAACCCATAGTGGTAATCCCGGTAATACAGCGCCTGACAAGATATATACGGCGATCGTTCTGGTACGATCTCATGACACGCGTCGACAGATCGTACATGCGGGCATCGATGACTGTTCGATTGGATACGCATAGGTGGTATTTGCTTCAGGTTGATTGGCTTGCCGTCTACACCGCCTTGCAGCGCGTCCAATCGAGACATTGCACCTGCCCCGGAAGATACGTTTGTCGACGTTTGATTGGCCAGTCGATAAGCCAATCAAACGTCGCGTTGGTTGGTAGCGTCGTGCAGGGGGCGGCTAGTAGAGGATATCTATCATTGCCAACGGCCAAGCTAGCGACCCCTGTGGAGCTTTTTTCGTTCTCGGTCAGGATTTTAGAATCGTGCTACCAATCGAGTTGTGGCTATAACTCCCAGATGGCAGAGTACTCAGTCATACTGCTATCAGAAGGAGGAGGTCGCGCCAAAGCTCCCCACGTCTCACCCACAACAGGCAATGATAGCTGTGCCGACAGGCTCCAGACGTTGTGACCATGGGGGCTATTTTCAAAAGTAGGCAAGATACCACCTCATCTCAGCCATACCGTGTGTTGTGGCGCAGCGGATGGAGTCATGTGACGGCGACCACTTGCTGTCGGCATGCCAACGCCAAGAAGCACGTTTGGTTCGTTTAGTTCACGGTCGGTTGAAAGAATCGACACTTGGAGCGTGGCAACGACTACGTTGGACAAACAAACATTAAGTCTCTGCGCAGATTCTTCCTCGTCCGCTCCTTCTAGATATGAAAATGATATCTTCGTCATGCGCACTGAACCGTAGACTGTCGTATGCGACTCGTAGCGGGTGGCAGAGATTCATGCGACCGTTGAGCCGTTAGACTCGAACAGAGGAGCATCGCAGATTCGGCGACCGTTCCCGCGACCTGGTATACAAGCGGCCAGAGTCATCGTACGCTCTCGAGCCCAGCACAAGCGTAATCACGGTTGGTTGCACGTGCTTGCGATCTCGTCGGCGACATTAAAATTGGTCGAGACAAGAGCACTTTAGTGCAGTGAAACGAGTCGGATCGCATACAGCGTCACCGGCTTGTGTGTTTCAAAATGACGCGGATTGCAGTCCACAGCACAGTTCTATGGAAGCGTAGGTCGGGCGATCAAGGTGCCGAGTACCAAACAAACTGAAAAATGTACGACCCACTCGTCGGCGAGGACTCGTTCGACACGAACTTGGACACAGAACGAAGCTGAAGCGGTTATGGGTGATGCAACGACGCTTGCTATGCGCTGGTTGCGGGGGTGCTCTCTTGACACGACCGAGTTCCCGTTATTGGAGATGCTGTGAAGAGCCTCTACGTAGAGTAGTCGATAAAATGCTCCACTGAAGGATCCACCGCGCCACGCACCGCCCTCCAAGCTGCGCCGTCGGACCGTTATACACCCATCGTTCTCTTTGTCGATGTTGTGCCGTCGGCGCCAGCTCAAGCCCCAACGCATCGCTGCCTTCAGGTCAGGGGATGTATTTATATGGACGTGCCACGGGTGTTGTACATCTGGGCGCTTTTGCCGAGGCTCTTTTGGCCGATTCCTGTTGGGTTGATGCAGAGGTTCTTGATGGCTGGATGAATTTTGTTGAGTGTGGTGTCTCGTTTATGCTCAATGTACGGTTGCTAGTTGACATTGTTGATGCGGTTCGGTGCTTGGTTGGCTCGGGTGTCGCTTTCCCCTTGCGGCCTTCACAGCCCCGCTGCCAACACTCGCGCGCCGACTCGTACACGAAAGCGCCGTCAAACGAAATGGAATTTGTTGCGCGTTGGCACTGTCCAGCATGGGCGCTGGAGCCCAGAGCGGTTGCCGCCCGCCGACGTCGAGTAGGCATACTAGCAGCCACCAACGGCAGCGAAACAGCTTGGCGTTTCGCACTAGAATCGAGTAGTCACCGCAGCCACGATTACGCGATGCATGCTTACGGTCAGAGCGAGCTGCAGTAGACTGTCTAGTCTACTGTACTACGCCGCGTAGCTGGATCAAACGACGCACATCTAGAGCATCCAATACACACTTACTTTATATAGATTAAATGGATGTGCTAACACGGCGAGAACGAACGGTCGTCGGCGTGTGGTCGGACGCCGCTAGCGTGGACGCTACAGAAGCCTTGAAAGCGGGCGAAGGATGTGCAGCGCGGGGCTTTGCAGAGCGTGCCACCGCCGTGCGCGCGGCACCGGCCTCCGGTTTGCGCCGGCGTCGAGCAGCCGTCAATGTCGCAGAGCTTGGAGCCGCCGTGGCGCGAGCAGAGGCCGTACCGCCGCGCGCAGGACGAGCACCCGTCGACTTTGCACTTGCGGTTCTTGCTGTTGGGTTTCGTCGACGGCAACAACCGCCGCGGCTCGGCGCTGCTGCTCGTGGACGACGTGTCGTCCGAAGAGTACCCGGCGTGGTAGCCTGCGGTCGCGTGCCGCAGCGCGCTGGCCTTTTGCACGATGCACTGCATCCGGTAATGCAAGAGGCAGAGCCCGTGGACCTTGCCGAATTTGCTGCAGCCGCCGAGTGCGCACAGTGCCGGCATACCAAAAAGACGTTTTGGCCACAAAGGTAAAATGAGGAATGATCGCTTTTGATGGGTTAAAAATACCCATGCCGGTCGGTTGATGTGACTGCTGCGGTTTTTGAGTTATGTCGACTAACGAATGCCATCGACGTCGAACCCCGGCACGTTTCGTGCCAAATAGCAAAGTCAGGACGCCGCGAGCATGAGCATCCCATGGATCTCGCGCAACTAAGCTGTGGATACCTTCAACAAAATGAGCTGCGCAAGGCCAGAGGACCCCTCTACACGGGGCAGGTGGCCTAGCATCAACAGGAGCCGGCGGTTTCAGCGGGACGCGTCGTTCGCCTCGTAAACGCTCTCACCGTGATTGCTCGATTGCTGCCTGCCGCTTATCCGGAAATCGAACGGGAGCCGTCAGGTCAGGTCCACCAAGACGAGCCTGTGGAAGGGACGACGAGGTCTGCATGTATGTATAATCATGTTATTTCGGGATTCGGGGGGTACAAAGGTGGTTGGCCAAGTGGCGTAGCGCAAGCCAGTGCTCTCCACTCTGTTAAAAGCAGCGAACCTCAGAGAAGGCGAGTGCATCACGCCATCCACACGTGTACGATCGACGAGGCTGACTGTGACGTCGGTTGGTGGTGTAACTGCCGAGCATTAGAAAACATGCTACGTATATTAAATAGCGAGCACGCTTGGTTCAAGATGCGCCGCCTCTATGCGACCAAGGACGAGACCATGCGCCTTGGCCGTATGCAATACCCGGTATACACACTGCTTCGCGCTCTTCTAAGCATGGTCGTCTGCTTGCCATGACGGTCAAGAATGTCAAGCGACCATCCGCTGATGTCGGAGTTCTTGCTGCAAGAGCCGGTGCGATCAGTCAGATCTCCGCCATATTCTCCGTTGGGTTGCACAAACAGCTAAATAGCTAGTGTACCTCTGACGCAGGAGAGAGGAGGACATTGATACTACGACTCCATGCATGTTACGAGTCGTTTAAAGGAGGACTACGAAGGGAGCGGGCGTGGGGTGCACACCAGCCGCCTGTTCGTGCAAACGAAGTGCAGCCGGGCTGCTTGCAGAGCGTGCCACCGCCGTGGAGCCGGCATTTGCCGGCGGTTTGCGCCGGCGTCGCACACCCTCGAACGCTGCAGAGCCTGGCGCCGCCGTGGCGAGAGCACTTGCCAAGCCGGCGGGCGTACGACGCGCAGCCGCGCTCGCTGCAGAGGCGGTGCGCCTTGGTGTACGTGGTGGGCGAAGCGTCGGTCGACGTGACGAGCGATAGAACGCGCGCATGCACGAGGCAAAGGGCGTGGACCTTGGCAAACTTGCTGCAGTCGCTGATCGCACACGGCGTTGGCATCTTGCGCCGGCGAAATCAAAACTGGTGACATGTCCTAAGAAAAGCAGCTTGAGTTCGCTGACGGGTCGCGTGGCACAACCGCCGTTTTGGCACTGCAGGCCAATGCGGACTGACAGCCAGATTTGCATTTCTCTCTTCATCACCGGCGCTGCTGCCAAAGCGAGGCTTCCTCGCTGCTGCCGCGGGCCTCTCCACCTGTATCTACAGGATGGCGTGCAGGCATAGCGAGTGTATCTGGCCTCGCGTGCCATGCCACGTTTACCGCGGACGAGGTGTACAATGTGTGGGACGACGGCGACGGTTCGGGCGCCAATCGGACGCCTGCAAGGCAGCGAAGCCGTTGGTTTGCGATTACGTGGCGTGGTTGCAAAGATGCGGCCCACTTCGATAGATACAACTTGCTGCATTAGCGCTCGCACGTTCGTCGACGACGACGCTAGCTCCTAACTAGATGCGCGGCTTGGAGCGCGCTTACAAGCCGCCAAACTGCGCGGCGCGGAGGACCTCGAGGATGGCCGAGCCGACAACAAGGAAGAAGAGCACGCCGAGCACAACGGGCCCGACCTTGTAGCCTTCTTCGCGCACGACCTAGAGATGCACGTTAGCCTCGGTGGGCGCTGCATGGGCGGTGCGTACCCGCGTCGACGTGGGCACGTTGCCGCGCTTGGTGATGTTGCTCGAGTGCTTCTCGTTGCGGAGGCGAAGCTTGGCGGGCGCGGACGACATGCTGGACTTGCTGGCCACGTGGACTTTGAAAATGACCCCACGTGGCTGTGGCACACGTTCCGGATATACTATCCGGATGACCACGTTGCGATCTTCCAGGATCGGCATCCACATACAGATGTCTAGAGCTTATTGGACGATGATTGAGCTTAGACTCTTAGCTATAGCTCGCGGGAGGTTTGAGCGCCGAAAAGTTGAGCTGGTCGATCGCAGCGATGGCTTCGCGCCGCCGCTCGCCGATGTACATCTCCTGCAGCTTGGGCAGCATCTAAGCACGTCTATAGGCAAACATCCAAAGCACTTTGCAGACATACATCCATGTGATCTTGTCGAAGCTGCGCCACGAGCTTGGCGGTACAGCTAACGCGCTCAGCGAGGTCGTCCACCGAGTCCATCTGGCTCTACTTGGCGACATCACTAGCACGCACAGGCTCGCCGAGACAACGTACGACAATCGTGGCGAGCTGTTTGGAGGTATTGCAATGAGCGTCGTTCAGCAGACCCAGCGCATCTCGCAGCCGATCCATTTCCCGCCGCATGAGCACTTGGTGGTCGTCGAGCTGCATAGTGCCATGTCGGTCGAATCCGAAGTAGACTTTGTCGTACATTTTGCTGCATCGCCTTGGTCTCGATGTCCAGCGCGCGGTGTCGAAGGGCCGACGACTTCTCCGCGTCTTGGAGCTGGACCTTGAGCGAGGTTTCCAGTGCGCTGCACGTGGCCACTAAGCTCTAACCAACGATACTTGACGTTTCTACGCAATCGGCTCTGTACCTGCGTGCGGTCCAAGACCACGTGCAGCCTCTCTTCGAGTTCTTCGACGGTGCGATCTAGAGAGCATCGCCTTCCACGAAAGCTCTTCGATGTGACACCTACGGTCGTGCTGCTGTAGTTGCATCCAGTCGCGGTATCTCTCCATGTCGAGGCGTCGCCACTAAGTTCACAATGCATGTACTTGGTCACCGCTTCGATCACCGATGTGCTACCTGCTGCACGTCGGCGGCAAGCTGGGTCACGACCATATCGTGCTGCACTACAGACGACGCCAAGGTGCTATGCTGAGCGCAGTGTCTCGTATTACCAAAGCGCGCCGCAAGCTCCTGCATGTGTTCGAAGCCTTTTACGAGGGTGTCCATCAGCTGCTGGTTACTCCACATGATGCGCTCTTGAAGCTAGGGCAACGATCGCACTCGTCCGCCAGAACACCCTCACGAAGAAGACACGTACAGTGCGCTGGTCGGCAAGCGACCGCACCACATCGTCAAACTGGCGCACAAGGCGCTTCCCCGATCCGTGCTCGGCGTCAGTGACGCGCCCAGCGTCGAAATGGCGGTCGTGGAAGCGCGTCTAGCACCATAAAACGTGACGAGAGAGTATCAAGTTGACAAATTGATAGTTTGTACGCTGCTGAGGAAGAACGCGCGGGTGCGTCCGTCAACGCGCAATCGAACATGGTCGATGAGGAACGCCTGGAACGCCTGCCAACACGTCAATCGGGAAGCCGCGACGAAATGCATCGCACATGAGACGCGGCGTCGCACTTGGCAGCGGAGGCAAGGATCTCGACGGTCGTCGCGGGCAGCGTCGTCGTAAACTCAGTGCTCGTTGACACGCACACAATCGTGATCTGGAGGCTTCTGTCCTCCTGGCCGTAGGTGAAGAAAACGGGATAGGTCGCACCCGCTATATGCATGTCGTTTGGACTTCCAGGTGCAAATGTGCCCTTACCAATGCTCAGGACGGCAGGCTCGGTCGGCGCAGCCCAGCTCATTGCCGACGGCTCTTCAAGATACGCTTGTGCCTGGCCTTCTTGGCCTTCGTCCTACACTATTATCCACTTCGAATCATATAGTGTTATGCTAGAGCGTGCAGACCAAGACCCGAGTCGTTTAGCAAGCACGCGTCACAGCGAGTACAGTATCACGGGCCCACTACGCGCGATTCGTGCGCGTTTCAACAGCGCTCAAGCCCACATATCGACACATCTTTGGGGACAAATCGCTTTCGCCCATCCTGCGTAACACTAAACGCGTATGAAAAGGTCTGTAAATGGTGAAACCGGTTTCAGCCTCGTTGAGGCCGTTGGGATGGCGGCGATGGACGCGGACCTGCAGCTCAAGATGAGCAAGAAGATCGCGCAGCTGACCAAAGTCATCTTCCTCCTCAACACCAAGAACGAGGACGCAGCGTCCGAGCTCCAGGCCACGGCGGCGAGCCACCGACGCGAAACCGAGGCTGTCGCGCGGGACGCCGCCGCCAAGATGGCCAGCCTCAAGGAGTCGCTCGAGAAGAAAGAGGCGGCACTCAAAGGCGCCGAGTCGCTCAAGAAGATCAAGGACCGGCATCGCACCGAGAAGCAAGAGGCTCTCGCCCAATTCCAAGGGTACAAGGACGAAGTCACCAAGGCCGCCAAGGCGTCGGACGACAGCTACAAGCGCGAGCTGCAGGCCATGGCCGACGACGTCAAGAAGGTGCGCGCCGCCTTTCACGAGCGCGTCGCGTCGCTCAAAGCTTCGCTTGACGCCGTCCAGGCCAAGGTGCACCACGGCAGCGTACGGTATCCTGCCATGGTGACCATCGGTGCAAAGTCATGCTTGTAGAAGGAAGCCGACGCGTTGCGCAAGAAGCACTCGGACGAGGTTGCCGACATGGTCACTGCGTCCAACCAAAAGTACAACGACATGCTCACGGCCCAGCTCAACGAACAAGTACGATGGATTTGTCATGTAGAAATTCAACTTGCATCAAATAGGACGAGCTACGCGCCCAGTGCCAAAAGCAGCTCCGTGTCATGGAAGAGGCGCACCGACGGACGTTGGTGGAGATACAGGAGAAGACGGAGCTTGATATGCGCATGGCGGTCAAGCGCCGCGAGCTCGAGTGCAACACGTCGGCAGACACGCTCAAGAACGAGATGGTCTCCAAGGTCGACTGCGACGCGGCTCCAACGGTGCAACCCAAAGCTCCTGTGCGTAGATGGAGCGGCTCTTGGCCGAGCTCGAGACGCTGCGTGGCAGCGAAACGCAACTCCGTTCCGAGAAACAGGTACGGGTTCGATCCCGACGACTGCCGGTGATTGCGAAAATGAATTGTTTTAGGACCTCGAGACCCAGCTCTCGGCGCTGAAAGCGTCGTCCAAGCAAGTCGAGATCGAGTTTGCAGCCTTCAAAAAGGCCCAGCAAGGCCAAAGCGAGAACGCCGAGGTCGTTGTGCAGACGCTCAAGACCCAGCTAAACGAGCGGGACAAGCAGATGCAACTGCTTCAGGACGAAGTGCAGCGCGCCCGGTTGGCGCTTGAGGCGGCCGAGTGTGACCGCACGGCGCTTGCCGCGAACCTCGATGCAGTGGCTAAGGCCCGCGATTCCAACCACATGGAGTAGACAAAGCATTTTGTGATGGACTGTCAACTATGTCGTAGGCTCTCGGAGAAGGAGGCGGCGTGGGCCCTAGAGATGCGCGCCAAGGAAACGGAGCTTGCTCAGCGCATTGCGACGCTCAAGGCCCACGAGTCGGAAGTCAAGAAGCTCCGCGAACTCATCAAGACCAACGACGCCCATGCCATCAAGACCGAAGACGATCTCAAGAAGCAGCTTCTTGCGGCACAGAAAAAGTTGATCGAGTTTCAAGCCAAAGAATCGGAGCTCAACGCCCGTGTACAAGCGCTTAAGACAGAGCTCGCGCAGCTCCACGGTGCGTGTGCACTGCATAACTTTGGCTACATGATGGCTGTGACTAGTCGCCTCCAAGGAGCGCTTGGACAAGGCAGTCACAGACGCGAACGTGGCGCTGGCAGCAGCCAAGGCGCAGCTGGAGGCCGAGAGCGCCGCTGCACTCCGCGCACTTGAAGCTCGCCTTGCGCTGGAACACCAAAAGCAGATTGACGCACTCATGCAGTCGGCGCAACACGTATCCGAGACGCAGAAAAACGACCTCGAGTCTAAAACGCGCGCACTCCAAGCCGAGCTGACCAAAGTACGTTGCAATCATGTCTATCATTCAACAGACGTTGTCGATGCTGGCAGAGCCAAGGGGCGGTGCAAACAGCACAGGACCAGCTCGCCGCAACAACCAAGGACCTCGCGGCAGCCAACAAAGATCTTACGCGCTTCAAAGGGGAAGCCAAGCTGTTGGCCGAGCAACTCAAGCTCGCCGAGACGGCGTCCACCAAAGAGGCCAAAGAATTCAAACAAAAGCTCGGCCAGCTCGTATGATTTCTGTTAAATTTTGACGCTACGGTCATTTGCGATTTAGGAAGGCCAGCGGGACCACGACTCCAAGGCGCTGCAGAAGGAACGAACCAAGTGCGAAGCGGCGCAAGCCGATCTCATCGCCCTCAGAAAGAAACTCGAGACGTTGACCAAGGGCCACGACGACGCGCTCGCAACGCTCCGCCAAGCGCACCAGGCACAAGTCGATGATCTCCGCGCCACCATGCAAGCGTCGATCGCCAAAGGTAGACACGTCATGTAAAACTCATGCATGTGCGCTGCAGCTGTCGAGGAAGCACAGCAGACTATGCAGAGCAACGTCGACGAGCAGCGAGGGTTCCTTCTCTCGATGCATGCGAGCGACCTTGCCGCCGTACAGTCCCAGATTGACGTGTGGAAGCAAAAGGTTACCGAGCACGAAGCATCCAACGCATACGACCGCGCCGAGTTCCACAAGCTTCTGCAAGCGCAAGGTACATCCGCGCGCAACCATATTTCCTTCAGCGGCTGCTAGACGACCAGTTTCGACGGCAGCTAGCATCCCTTGAAGCCACTCAGCGCAGCGTCGTACTGCAGCTTGGTGACGAACATGCCGCGGCAATGGCATCACTACGGGAGGCGCACGCAGCAACAATAGCCAAGATGCAGCAAGCCACTGCAGAGACGCTATCGGCGCACCAAGCAGCGTCGGCCACCGCTTTGGCCCAAGCCCACGAAGCGTTTGCCAGCGAAAAGGGGATGCTCGAGAAGCTCCTCGAGCGACGTTGCGCCGAGTACGACAAGCAGATCCAGGACGAAGCGAGCTTCCACGCGCGGGAAGTTGCCCGCCAAGTGCACGTGGCCAAGCTCGAGAAGGACCGGGAGCGCGAAATGCTGGTACAAACCTTGAGCGACCAGCATCGGACGGTCGTTGCGTCCAAAGAGGAAGCCATTGAGGCGAGCCAGCGCCTCGTGGCCGACCAAGCCGACGCGATTCGAAAGCTCCAGGACGACCTCAAGACGCAAGCGGCCGTACTCGAGGTACCTACTGGAAGAAGCGACCTGAATGCGTCGAGCAAAGTGCTCATAGCACAAGCAAGACGAGTGGAGGAACACTCAAAAGCGCCTCGCCGCGGAGAAAACCCAGGCGCTCGAAGGTCTCGCGCGCCAGCACAAGGCGGAGCTCGAGCATCTTCTGGACGAACACGTCAACGAGACCCAGCTGCTCAACGGTAGTGGTTCGCGCACCCCATGTTCCTCACATGTGCGGGTGCAGCGCAATTCGAAAAAACCCGCGGGCTTCTCCAAGAACAGCAACAAGTTCTGATTGCCAAGGTGCGCGAGTGGGAAGCTGTGTATGCGCGTCGCGACAGCCGCGTCGAGGACGTCAACCGCATCTCCGAGCTCGAGCAAGGTACTATTTTACTATTAGAATAGGGTCGTTGCGATACGTCTGCAGAGGTTGCGACCAAGGATGCGCTCGTCCAGCAGACAGTCGAGGAGATGGCGTACATCAAGCGAGAGCTCCTCAACCGAGAGGACACGTACAACAAGACGTTTGGCCGGAGCCCAAACGTCGGCGTCCTACAAGTGCTCAAACCCACGACGCTGACGGCGACGCCACCGAGCCTTGGCCCACCGCCGAAACTCAACCGGAAAACCAAGCCCCAGAGCTTCTCGGCGATGACGTCGGGCACGAAGCCACTGCCACCCATCGGCGCGTCCAACCAGCAGCCCAGCTACCGCGACCTCAATCACCTTCAGTAATACTATTATTCGTTCAACAACGCGTAGTTTGGCGACAGAGTGTACATAGTAGGTATTTAAAATGACCCTTGTACCCAGCTCATTCAATTTCGTGACTAGATTTCACATCTTTTTTAAATAACTTATTGGCTTCAGTCTTGCGAAATGCTGCGCAACTGCTCCTGTAGCTCAGCTGGTTAGAGCGGTGGTCTTATGAGCCGCAGGTCGAGGGTTCGAACCCCCCCTGGAGCACCTTATTGCACTTTTTTACAAATGAACCGCAGAAAGAAGAGATGATGTAGGAACGCATGACAATACTGTGTTTAATGCAACATTGTCCGATATTTTCCATATGGTTTTAGAGCAGCTGGTATATAGGTATGCGACACAATTGTGACGTCACACAAGTGGCGCTGTGAAGCTGCAGAGGGAGTCTACTTTTACGGTGTGCGATAGTTACCAGTATTTTGAATGCACACCATCGTGTTTTGCAGTAAATTGCTTGAGAAGGCAATGGGGTGTAGACCGATGATTACGCGAATAATTTAATAGGAGAAATGCGCTCAGACTTGGACCGAGACGCCCATGTCGGGCCAAAAGGCAACGTTCGTGGCAATGTCCGCAGAGCTCGGTGGCGCTTGGAACTCCACAAACTCGGGCGAAAGCGGCCAAAGTTGCGCCAGCTCCATCGTGACCGGCGCAAGCACCATGGCTCGGTCCATCGCAAAGTCCAGCGCCAAGGTATCGGAACAGTCGGACACCGGCAGTTGCATCCAGTTGTTCCAGTGCTGCTCCACGTTTTCTGCCTCCGTCGACGGCGTCATGTGCAGCATGGTCGAAAGGTCGCAGTCCTCAAAGTCGAAAAGGTCCATGGGCAGCTCGGTCGTCGCCGGCGCCGTGGCGCTGGGTTTGCCGTCTTCCTTGCCCAAGCGAGCCCAGCGGCTCTGACACTGGCGGTAACTAGTTGTAGGAAGAGGCGTAAGGCTAACGTGCCTTCGGCGAGGGGTGCATCGTACCAGCGGGTCTTGACGATTTCAGCCACCTTGAGCCACTTGGTCGTCTCGCGCATGGCATAACGGAGCCGGTCGTCTTCGTCTGCCGACCACAGGCCCCTGTTCTTGGACGGAATGCTATACTCCGAGAGCCATTTTTGGCGGCAATCTTCGGGGCCATGGCCAGGAAAAGCGGCAGCCGCCGCCTTCCACGTCGTGAGGCTCGGTTGGACGGACTTGAGAAGGTCAAGCTAGTTCACAGAAGCATGATAAGTCGACAGGCGTGGCAAGGATCAAGTTCCAACCTCCTTCTTCGTCCACTTGTTCGAGGCCATTGTTGTTGATAAGTGATAATGTGAAAGTGAGCATATCGGTCCAAACGTTGAGCGATGCGACGGAACGTCCAGTAGTATCCAGCTGCCCTTATCGAATGCACCCACGCAGCAGCTGCGCCGCGCGAGTAAGTATCAAGGTGGCGAGCTATCGACTCGATAAGGATGTGGCATGGGTGCATTTAAAAAAACATAGAGCCTCTGAAGAAGCCTCTATTAGCTTACGGCAGCACCAATGAGGTACTACTTGGCTTTACGGCAAGATTTAGCAGGCTCGGGTGGGATACGGCTTCTGCACTCTCTCAACCTTGCGGAGCGACGTGGTGCGACATGAAGCAGGGACCTATTGCCAACTTGATAGTATATCAAGCGGCCAAGGTGGGCCGAGCCATCTGCTACGAAGCTGCGAATTCATTGGCCACATCCCGGGAGCTGGGTTGTTGAAGTATCGACTGGTTCCAAAAGCTGTCCAGTTATATCGCTTGCTTGGTCGATACTGTATCAAGCTTGCACAGCATCTGCGACGTCTTGATTGAGGGGGATTGAACCGGATAACATATTGTATCCGGTATTTCTTGGCGCGCAATCTCAAAGTCCATTTTCAAAAATCGCGCGAGGTTTGGAGCATTGAGATCTACACACTACGAAGGTCTTGAGGCGACTGAACTATTAATACATACGGAGGTGCAAGTTCAAACCTCGCTCATGGTCCACATGTGTGTATGCTTGCTCGTACGAGCAGGGGTCATTGTCGTCGACCATGAGGGAAGCAAATTGCACAGATCTTTCGCCGCCCAAGATATGGCTCTCCGATCACACCGGTACATACAAGAGAAAGGGTCCATTCTTCTACGTAAGAAGATGAAAGCTCCGCAACGCCATGACCACCCCGTTGCGCGATTGGCCTCTGGTGTGCTAAAAAAGCGTTGGTTATCGAGGTCGAGTCACGACAACCAACGATATCCTGCAGCGAGGGTTCGATACTCCTTCCGTGTCGAGACGAGTGGATTCCAATAACCCTGCGCATCACACGAGTTGCATCTATGCCACCCCTAACATTTACTCGTCACGACAACAAGAAGCGCTTGCAAGGTTCCGCGATGTAGGTTGTCGGTCATCTCGTGTCCGCTACCGTCCTACTTCCATCATAGCGCAAGCAGTGCGACGACCAACAGCGGTGTAGGCGCAGATCGGGGGTCATTCCTGACCTGGCACGTATTGCCGCTCTCCCACAAGAGCTACAGTATGGCAGCGAGGTCATAAATTACACGAGTAATCTACTTGCTTGATGGCAGCCATACCTTTGCGAGGCTCCACGAGACAAATGCCGACCAATGTACCAACGAAATAAGAAATTGCACTTAGCCCACACAGCCCTATTTGGAGTCCGCGACTTTGAACTTCGTATGAGTGACCTTGATCATCTAAATATATCTCGCGTGGCCCATGCAATCGCCAGCGAGGGTCCGCCGCATCAAGATCAAGGCCCCGGACGACGTGGTCGAGGCCAAGCTCCGCGAGGCTGGGGACCCGCCACGCGTTCCGCTCGAGTCGATGACGTGGCGCCTCGCGGCGCCGCCTCCGCAGCGCTACAACTACCGCCCGCATTTGCGCCAGGGCAAGACCATCGCCAAGAAACGATGGCATGCTCATGCTGCGTAGGCGGGTCGGGCGGTACGCTTGACGACGCGCTCTACCTCTTCGGCGGATTCGAAGACAACGGCGAGCGGTCGAGCCGCCTCGTTCAGTACAGCTTTGCGACGCAGATGTGGCGCACGATCGAGTGCAGCGGGAACGTCCCGTCGCCTCGCTGCGGGCACGCCTGTGCGATCGATGCGGCGAAGAAGGAGCTCTGGCTCTTTGGCGGCCAAGGCCCCGAGGTCGGCCTCAACACCAAGAACCTCTACGACGACCTCTCGATCTTGGACCTTGCGTCCTTCGTGTGGCGCCGCGCAGTCGTCTCGTGCGCCGGCGCAGACGGCCACGCCAACTTTGTGCCGATCGCGCGGCGCGGCCACAGCCTCGTCTACCACGACAACGTACTATCGGAAGACACTATTGTCCATCATTTTCAAACAAAAGTACTAGACGCTCTACATGTACGGCGGGTCCGGCCTCGACCGGATGCTCAGCAAAGACGCGTATTTTGAAGACCTCCAGCGCCTCGACCTTGCCACCTTGTGCTGGTACGAGCCGGCGATGACGGGCAGCTCGCCGGGCCCGCGCTCGCACCATAGCGCCATCATGCTGCATGGCACGAGCTACATGCTCGTGTTTGGCGGTCAAACGGCCAAGACAACGACAACGCTGCCGAGTCCGGAGCGCCCGCGGAGCGAGAGCCTCCCGCCCGACACGGGCTTGGCCAACAACCTAGTGTACGCGCTCGACGTGCGCACGTGTCATTGGCACGTCGTTGCGCCCTTGGACGGGACGCCGCCCAGTGCGCGGTATGGGCACGTGATGCAGCATCACCCGATCAACCCGTGCTGCCTCTTCCTCTTTGGCGGCAAGACGTACCGCGGCTTCGACGACGGCGCGATTCACTGCCTCGACCTCGGTGCGGTCGTTCTCCATCGAGGCCTAATGTAGAAAAAAGGTCGTCGGTGTAGAGCTCCAGCGCTGGTCGACGCTCGCCAGCGTGCCGCCAATCCCGCCGCGGATACGGCATGTGTTTAGCATCTATAAGGACCAAGTGCGCGTGCCAGTACACTTCTGCAGTCATCGTAGTGATGCTGGCCTGTGCTAGATGATGATCTTTGGCGGCTGTGGCGACAATGGCCTCTGCATCGGCGACGTCTTTACGGTCGAGATGCCGATGTTGCACAAGCCTCAACCACGGCGGCTCTTCTTCGAGCCCGACAAAGTCGACGACGACGCGTCGAGTGCGGCGCTGCCGTCGCCGCGCCCGCACACGATTGCTGGCTTCATGGGCTTCAAGAGCTTCCAGTTCACGCCCGCGCGACCAGAGCTCCCGCGAAGCATGATCCGCGTGAGCCCGATCAAGGTGGCCAAGCCGCCCGCAACCGCCAAGCCGTGGACGTCCGTGGGGCTGTGACACCCATGCCGTCGTACACTAGTGAATTGAATTTCCACTTTTAGTTTCTAGTCGGCCGTAGAGGCATGGATCTGGTACGGACACTAGATGTGCGTCGTGTTGAGATGTTGCCTCGCCGACACGAGAACTGGTTTCTAGATCGTACAGTAGTCTGTCTCTACACTGTGCCTGCTTTGCACTGCAGACGATGAGCTTTCTCAAAGAGTGGGTGGCTTTTAAAAAAGCCAGGTGAAGTGGAAGCGAGCTTCCGAATGAATGATGGAGGTGCACGGATTTACGCCTTCGTGGACTTGGCCTCCTTCGTCGGGAGCGACGTCTTCTTGGGGAGGAGGATGTTGTGGATGTTGGGGAGCACACCGCCCGACGCGATCGTCACGTCGCCGAGGAGCTTGTTGAGCTCTTCGTCGTTGCGGACCGCGAGCTGGATGTGGCGCGGAATGATACGCGACTTCTTGTTGTCGCGAGCGGCGTTGCCGGCAAGCTCGAGGATTTCGGCGCAGAGGTACTCGAGGACGGCGGCGAGGTAGACCGGGGCACCGCCACCGATGCGCTGGGCGAAGCGGCCCTTCTTGAGGAAGCGGGCAACGCGACCGACCGGGAACTGGAGGCCGGCCTTCGACGAGCGCGACGAAGCCTTGCCCTTGGCACCGCGGCCACCCGTAGCTTTACCCTTGCCAGACATCTTGTGCTTGTGTTGTAGAGATCAAAATCTAAAATGAGTGCTGGACGCGCGCCAGAATGGCCGCCGACCAAAACGCACCAATCATAGAAACGTACGAAATTATTCCGCCAATCAAAGGCTTGTCCCGCCAAATGTAGCCAATCCGAATCGAGAGGCAGTTCACGCGCCAATCAGACGCGTGCAAGTCGCGCCTTGGCGGTCGACCTGGCGCGGCTGGAGTTTGGTGGCGCAATTCAACTCATTTTTGAATTTCCATTCGAACCAGCAAGATGGCCAAGACCCCGAGCAAGAAGTCCGCCAAGGCCCCGAAGAAGACGGGCGAGAAGGGCAAGGCCAAGAAGGGCAAGCGCGTGGAATCGTACTCGACGTACATCTACAAGGTGCTCAAGCAGGTCCACCCGGAGACCGGTATCTCCAAGCGTGGCATGTCGATCATGAACTCGTTCATCAACGACATCTTCGAGCGCATTGCGTCCGAAGCCGGCAAGCTCTCGCGCTACAACAAGAAGTCGACCTTGTCGTCGCGTGAGATCCAGACCGCCGTGCGCCTCATGCTCCCTGGTGAGCTTGCCAAGCACGCCGTCTCGGAAGGCACGAAGGCCGTGACCAAGTTCACGTCGTCGGCCTAAATCTGCTGCGCAACCCCGCTTTGTCACAAAGCAACTACATCTGGTGTTTCTAAACACCACCCATAGCAACTGGAAATGCATCACACGAGCAGGATAGCTAGTGGCGCAGGAGACCGCTGCTAGATCCGGTGACTGGGACCATCAGCGGCTACTACCGACAAGGCGTCATATCCCAGTCGCCCATCATCGTGGCTGCACTGATTCTGCCACATCATGCACGAGGCCACCAGCACGTGGCGTAAAATGCACGCAGCGTACAAAGAACCCAATGCTTATTCCATCGGTAATGATCAGCGTGAATGAAGAGAATGCTGCACATGTCATCGATGCTCGCTTCGTCGTCGTCGGCCGGCAGCATGAACGTCACCGCTCTCTCGCGCGCCGCATGATCGCTAAAACGGCATCGTTGGCCCACTCGACCACCCGGAGACGGTGCTGGATCGTGCCCCGTGGCCAGCGCACCAGAGGCCGCCGGCACGACGCCACGTGTCCTTAAAGTGCAATGTGAACGCGCGGCCGGCAATCTCTGGCGTCCACAAACGCGAGGTTCAATGCATCGCGCTGCTGGAGCGACACGACGATGAGGCTGTGGTCACCGATCGTATCCGTCATCATCAGCACGGTGGAAAGGAAGGTGCGAAGCGGTGCGTGGACGGGCGGCGTCCATCGATCCATCTGCGACACATGATAGCGCAAGGAGACGGCGCGAAGCGTGCCATTCCCATCCAGCAGAAAGGCGGCGTCGCTCAAGTGATACGTCGTCCGAGGTGGCAGGCATGGAGAGAGGTGTGCGACGTTGCTCATCGCTGCCGAGATGCAATGACACGCGTAGTTGGTGACCTCGGTCGCTCTCGACGACGAGATCTCGGCGGTCGACAAGAGCTCACGAAGCGCTGTCGACGTCTACTACCGAGCTCGATGCCGTTGTCGCCGAGCCACGGGGCGAGCGTATCGGGCAGCGAAGCCTTTGTCGCAGCCGCCAAGTGCGACCGGTAGTAGGCTTCACTGGCCGGCAGATGGCGCTGGACGATGGACCACCGAAGATGCGGCAGATGACGGCGCAGTAGGCTTCGTAGCGTTGCGAGCGCCTCGGGACGCACGCGTTGGAGCTGGAACGTTCGGCGCTACATTGCCCACGAAAACTCCGTGCCACAAAAGCAGTTCATCGAGTCGCAGCCGTCGCCCTTGACGAGGTGCAGCTTGGGCACTGCGCAACGCCGTCAATCGCCTCGGAAAGCGCACACGGTTGTCCCAAGTGGTGACCGCCGACCTTGCAAACAAAGCACAAGGCGGCCTGGCAGCACGGTGACGTGATGAACGGCGCATCGCGGCGCCAGCGAAGGAAGAACGCCTCTCCGACGTCGTGGATGAGTGGCAAAATGGCGCTCAGAATGACATCGTCGTGGCCCGGAAACGTGGCACGAACGTAGTCGTAGAGCGCGTCGGTCGAGAGGCGGTACTGGCCGCAGCGCGTCGGAAGCTCTGGAACGTGCTGTGCGAGGTGTGTTGGCAGTGTGAGTGGCTGGATCGAGTCGCACGTCATCTCTGGCAGCAGCATCGATGTGTAGGTGTGGCAGCGCGGGCATGCGACGTCGCACGCTGACTGCACCTTTGTTTCAAATTGCTGGAGGTGCGGGTTCGTCTTGCCTCGCCGCTGCCGCCAGCGAACCAAGCTGGTCGGTCGAATGCAGATGGGGCACTTGAGCTGTGCGAGCACGCCGTACAGCATCGACTCGGCTTGGAGAGTGACGTAGACGTGCAGAGGACCGTGGGACAGGCGGTATGGCGTGACGACGGCCTCGTCAAAGCAGACTTGACACGTGGCAGCACGAGGTGCGAGCATGCTCTCGACGCAGCACATCAACATGCGAACAATGAACGACCTTTGACTCAGACAATATATGCCTATCCCAGTACTGCAACCGGTCCAACAGAGAGATGCTGTGAATGCCAAGACCCAAGGCGTGGACGACCCTTCTATTAACACGGATCGTCGACGAGGGGCTTACTGCCACTGTCTCGCGAGCTTGTAGGGCACGACGAGGTGCTTGACAAAGTTGCGCGCTTCGCAGAGGCGGATGTTCTCGTCCAGCACGTCTTCGTCAATACCAAGACGCCACGCAATGTCGTAGCGCGCCGGGTTGGCGTGCAGCGTCTCGAGGTCGTCCACAAAGCTACGCATGCCATCAGTCCATATCCTCTTTCAAGAGCTACGCACCGGCACGCATCGTCGACGCTTGCAAAGTTGCCGTACTTGGTGAGCTTCTCGCGGCGGCAGTAGATGAGCCGCGCCATCTCGCGCAGGTCGTACTCGGGATGGTACTGGACAGCCCAAAAGTCACCCTAGCGCAACCATGGTCCCTTCCATCACACACGTCACGACGTACGTTCAAGAAGCGCACGGCGACCGACTGCGTCGACGTGAACGCGTTCGCGCTCAAGGTCAAGCCGCCCGGGAGCACGTGCGTGATCTCGTCGTAGTGGCTCGTGAACGCGTCAAAGACCGTCGACTTGCCCTCGTACATGGGGTGGCTCCGGCCCTCGGGCGTCAATTGGATCTATCAACACAGAGCGTTCGCCGCGTACGATGCTACACGCACATCGCACCTTGCGGGAAAGGCCCATTTCTCGGCCGTTTGGATTCTTGGCGACCTTGCCGCCCGCTGCAAAGACTGCAATCTGCGCGGCCCAGCAACTCCCAAACTAGACGCCACAGGATGAGGCCATGGCATGCTTTCGTCAGCGTCGCATCTACCTGCGGCACGCCTACAGGATGGCATGAGGCGTCTGGAGCACCAAGCATGTGTTGTAATACCATAGGCGTAGATCTGCTTGGCGAGGTCGATTTGCCGCACCGTGCGCTCGTCGTCCGTTTCGTAGACCGTCAAGCTACCGCGAGGTCGGTAGGTGGGACGGTCACGACAGTATTGCTACGCGTACCTGCAGCCTGTCCAGACGACGCCATCGTACTTGCTCAAGTCGGGTGCCTGGAACGGGCCGTCTGCCGGGTGCAGCACGTCGTGGGTCACGGCCATCGGCGACACGGTCTTGAGCACGTTCGCGTACAGCTCGGACGCGATCGTGGCACCGCCCCGCTGCAGCTCGGCGCGGCCTTCGGGCGAGTAGCCCTCGACGATGAGGAAGCGAAGACTGCTAGCGCTCGTCGAGAGGGCGCGGGCCCGCGGGAAGATCGCTCGGACGAGCATTGCGGTTTCGGGCGACAAAGGCAAAGTGGTTGCAGGTTCAGATCTTATGGGTCATAAAATACAATTCTATTTCGTTTTCATTCCTTTATAATATTATCTATCTTGTGTATTGGCGCATCTATTTTTATTCCATGCTCCAATATTATGACAGATTCTCGCCGGGTGGGGCTGCAAAGGGCCACGTCATGGCCAACGCGGACCATTGCAAAGAAACACGATTTCAATGGAAATTATTATCATGCGTTTTATTTAATTCTCATAAAGATTCTATACATGATGCAGATCAGATCATTATATTGCAGTGCGATTTCATGCTGGAAGATCGCAGTTGAAGATGCTCATTTTGGATTTAGAGTCTTAGCAGCATGGCAGGGCGCGTGGCGAAGAAGGTGGCGATCGTGACCGGCGCCGGCGGTGGCATCGGCCGGAAGAGCGCGCTGCTCTTTGCCAAGGAAGGCGCGAAAGGCGTCGTGTGCGCGGACCTCAACCTCGAAGCCGCGCAGGAAACAGCCGACATGATTGCCAAGCTCGTGGGCAAGCCCAACGTCGCGACCGCGATCCGCGTCGACGTCTCCAAGAGCGACGAGTGCAAGGCCATGGTGGATGCTGCCGAAAAGACGTATGGCCACCTCCACGTGCTCTTCAACAACGCCGGCATCATGCACGGCGACGACGACGATGCGATCGCGACCTCGGAAAAGGTTTGGGACCTCACGTACGTGCTTCGATGGCGCACATTCGATTGCTCATAGCTATATGGCATAGCATGGACATCAACGTGAAAGGCGTCTTCTTTGGCTGCAAGCATGCGATCCCGGCGCTTCGCCGGGCGGGCGGCGGCTCGATCATCAACACAGCATCGTTCGTCGGGTGCATTGGCGCAGCGACGCCGCAGCTGGCCTACACGGCGAGCAAGGGCGCGGTGATTGCCATCAGCCGCGAGCTCGCCGTCATCCACGCCCGCGAGAACATTCGCGTGAACGCGTTGTGCCCGGGCCCGCTCAACACGCCGTTGCTGCAGAAGTTCCTCGACTCGGAGGCCAAGAAGCAGCGCCGCCTCGTGCACGTGCCGATGGGGCGCTTTGGCGAGGCGGCCGAGATGGCCAAAGCCGCGCTCTTCCTCGCCAGCGACGATGCGTCCTACATCACTGGCACCAAGTTCATGGTCGACGGCGGTATCACGGCCGCTTACGTCACGAGCGAGACCGAAGTCGACCCGTTCGGCGGCCCCAGCGAGATCTAGTTAACGAGCATCCTAATCGAGTGCATACCTGCGTCTAGCATTCCTCGGTCGCCAGATGTCTACGGTGGCTTCCATGGTACTCTAGTAGGATGGTAGAAGAAGAACCAGAGTCCAAGCAGCCGCTGCTTCTTCTGCCAGCTGACGGCTTTGGCTTGAAGTAGACCGCCCATCGCCGTCTGCGTTCGTTCTCAGAGTCGAAGATCGCAATGGCCACTTCAAGTGGCCGCTGATTGGTGCATCACGTATCCAAGAAAGAAGCTTGCTGTTTGTATACCATACTCAAGCCTATTACTTGGGCTTGGGCAAGATTCAAGTAGTGACTATCTGGCCCAACGACGACGAAGCATGTGGCCAACGTTGCAGGTAGACGGCTGCAGGCAGGAGGTGCATGGCCTCATCCGCGCATGCGATCGTAGAAGACAGTGCTTCGGCAGACGACCAAGCTGGCGCGCGCCCCCGCGGCGACGTTCGCCTCGGCCACCACGTAGGCCGTGACGTCGAGCATGGAAGCGTACGATGCTGTAGGTTTGCTGTCGAGAACCCGTACACGCTCGAGCCCGTGGCGCATGTGACGGAAGCGTCTTCGGCCAGCGTCCTGGACACGATCGATCGCGTAAAGAAAGCGCAGCGCCACTGGGCGGCGACGACGACGCTCGCGCAACGCCAAGCGATTGCGACCAAGTGGGTCGACGTCCTCAACGACCAAGTCGACGAGATCGCGACCGAGATTACGCTGCAAATGGGCAAGCCACTGGCGCAGGTGCGTCCTTTTGTATACTGCACCCTCTTCCGCGACCCCGTCTAGGCCAAGGGGGAAGTCCGTGGCACGATCCAGCGGGCCAAGTACGTCGACGCCATCTCTTTCTTCGTACCATCTCTCGTCGCATGCGTATCTAGGGTCATGATTGCGCTCGCGGAGAAGGCGCTGGCCCCAACGACGTTTCCGCACGACGACGACGACAAGCTCTTCCGCTGCATTACGAAGGAGCCTGTCGGCGTTGTCTTTGTCATCGCGCCGTGGAACTACCCGATGATGACGGTGGTCAACTCGGTGCTGCCGGCGCTCCTTGCTGGCAACGGCGTGCTCCTTAAGCACTCGCCGCAAACGCCACTCTGCGGCCGCCGCTTCCAATCGACGCTGGAGGCCGCGGGCTTCCCCGTCGACCTCCTCCGCGCCGAGCAAATGGCCCATGGCACGGCGGCCAATGCCATTGCGCATCCCGATGTGCAGTTCGTCTCGTTCACGGGCTCGGTGCGCGGGTGCGCGTCGATGCATCGCCCATATATGTCAAGGTGTGTCCTAGGGGCCGCGACGTCTTCCAGACGATCGCCAACAAGAACCGGTTCCTGAACGCGACGCTCGAGCTTGGCGGCAAGGACGCCCTGTACATTGCACCGGACGCCGACGTGGCCGCCGCCGCCGCGGGCGCCGTGGACGGCGCGTGCTACAACGCAGGCCAGTCGTGCTGCGCCGTCGAGCGTGTCTACGTGCATACATCCTTGTACGACGAGTTCCTCGCCCTCGCAACGAGCCATTTTGACGCCTATGAGGTACATTCTCTCTGGATAGCACCATGGCGCAACATCTCTCTCTCTCTCGCTAGCTGGGCGATCCGCTGCAGCAGACGACGACGCTCGGACCCATGGCGCTCAAGGGATCCTCGACGGCGACGCTGGCACACCACGTAGATGACGCGCTCGATATCCCTCGCCCATGGCGCACGTATCTGTGTAGGTGGCTGATGCGGTAGCCAAGGGCGGGCGGGTGCTCACCAAGACGGCCGCGCCACGCGAAGTGCAGGACGCAGCGGGCCACGGTCGCTTCTTCCCGCCCACACTCGTGGCCGACTGCACGCACGACATGCGCCTCATGGTCGACGAGTCGTTCGGTCCGATTCTGGGTACGAATTGGGTTGGATGGTAGCGATGACGACGGGTGCTGGCGTAGGCGTCATGCCCGTTGCCTCGGACGACGAGGCGATCCGACGCATGAACGAGAGCGCGTTTGGCCTCACGGGTGGCATCTTCACGACGAGCCACGTACGACGCTGCAGCGAAACCTGGTACCGACGACGATGATGGAGGTAATAGGAGCGCGCGATGACGATCGGCCGCCACTTGGACGTCGGCACCGTTTACATGGTACCGTCCAAGATCTCGCGTGGGCAGAGACGAAGATGGGTTCTATGTGGTAGAACCGCTGCGATGCTGTCGATCCACACCTGCCGTGGACCGGCGTCAAGGACTCGGGCAAGGGCCACAGCCTCTCGGAGCACGGCTTCCAAGCCGTCACCCGCTTGAAATCGGTACGCTCTGCTGCGTTGTTGCGTTGACGATCGAGATGAACGTCATCTATGTCTTCATTAGTGGAACATGAAGCTCGCGTGATCTTCGCGGGCAGTCGACCCGTCCATAGTACAAGTACTTTCGGTAGTCGAACCCTTAGTCGTGTTTGGCGTGGGCGACTAATACCGGTGGCTTGGTCTCGAGCATGCGTTGGTACTGCTGCACAAAGATAAGGAGGCCTGCGAGCAGCGAGCTCCGGTTTTGCTCGAGCTCCAAGAGGCCCAAGAGCACTTCTTGGAGCAGGTCGGCGCCCTGGATGGCCGAGAGCGCGAGCACATATGTGCGGATGTCGGCGTCGTCGGCGACGGCCTTGGCGAAGATGAGCGTGAGGATGAGAGGGACGGCGACGCGCGCGAGCAGCGGCAGCTCGTACTGCGTGTACACGTTGCGGTTGACGGCCACGGATGCGATGACGACGATCGCGACCTTGGGCAGCGCCGCGCCGAGGAGTCCGAGAAGCAGCCCAAAGCCCAGGCTCGGCACGGACCAGAGGCTCGTCGGACCAAGAAGCGCCTCGGGACTCATGGCGATGCCAATCAAGCTCATCTGGAGAAAGACGTAGGCGCGGGGCGCGCGATGGCCGGCGACACCAAAGCCCGCGGCCAGCAGCCCCACGGCGGTGAGTACGGCGAGGCGCAGGTCGGCCGTCGCGGGCGACGATGGCGCCGCCACGAGCACCGAGAAGGCCTGCTCCATGGCCTGGAGCGTGTCGAAGAAGCTGTTGAGGGCCACGAAGCCGCGGTCGTCGATGGCGAGCATGCTGCGCTGACTACTGGGATATAACGGCAGCTTCAACAAATTCCCGTGTTGCATTTCAATTTTACCGCAATTCTTTCGACTAACGAGCGACTAAAGCACGGGCGTGGTTAGGCTGCTGCGTCGCGCAATCGATACCGCGCTTCGACCAGTGCACGACATCATACGAAGCAACGATCGACCTGTATCCACGGGATCGCGTGCGCTAGAGGACCACTTCCAGTCGTTCGTGGCGACCCTGGCCCGTTTCTGTTTAGTCGATGGCGTCGACTAAATTACACTATTTCAATGACCACAGTATTTTGAAAAATCGAACTTCCCACGTGCCATTTTTTTATCCGATTTGGATGCTACACTTGATACTTGTATGTCGAATTGGATGTTGGAATAAAAAGGGCGTCAGACCCATCGACCAATCGGCGATTCTGCGGCTTAAAGCGAACGAGTGGAAGATGGCCGGCCGGGGACGTGAACTGGTACTGCCCGCGTGGATGCAGCAGCAGCAGCAAGAGAACGGAGGCGCACCGCCGCCCTCCATCCTGCCGCCGCCGGGCCATCGCGACCAATATGCGGATGCGCAGGAGCCGCGCCGCGACCAAGGCTCGCGCGATGCGTACCCGCGCAGCGATCGCCACGAGCGCAGTGACCGTGATCGCTCGTCGCGCAGCGACCGCTACGACCGTGACCGCAGTGGACGCGACTCGCGTGGTGGCCGCCACAGCGATCGCGACACGCGCGATCGCCATGATGACCGAAGGCGGCGCGATCGGTCGCGCTCGAAGGACCGGTCGGCGCGCCGGGACGACCCGCGCGACCGCCGAGGCAGCAGCAAGCGCGATCATGGCGAAGTGAAGAATTCGAAGGCCTTGGTATTTATTCCTTGAGCGGCTCGGGGCGCGTGCGCACTCGACGGTACGCCATGGCGTCGTCGCACCTCGCACCTCTCTTATCGCCTGATCAGATTCGACGTTTTGCCGCCGGGTGTCACACAAGAGAACGCGGCTGCCTACGCAGCCCAAGCCATCTTGCAGGCCAACTTGGCGGCCCTCTCGGGCGTCGTCGGCCCCGCGTCGTTCGGCCCGCCCACGTCCAACGTACGTCCAACACATGTCTATGTACAAAGGCTCATGTATCGCGTAGGCCTACATGCACCATCAAGTACGACGAGCGCTCTCTCTTCTATCGATGGTCCTCGAAAAGCTCATGCGCTTTGTCACAGGCGTTTGCCGGGAACCAGCACTCGCGCCACGCCCGCCGTTTGTACGTTGGCGGCTTTGGCGACGTGCCCGAGCAAGAGATCGAGCGCTTCTTCAACGAGGTCATCGACAAGGCCTTGGGCGAACGCCAAGAGCACGGCAGCGTCGTCTCGGTACGTCCCCTCTTGTCATCGGTTGCATTTACATGCTGCAGGTGTACATCAACCGCGAACGCCACTTTGCGTTCGTCGAACTCAAGTCGATCGAGCTCACGACAGCGTGCATGGAGCTCGACGGCGTCTCGTACCACGGCCAGCCGCTCAAGATCCGCCGCCCGAACGACTACAACCCGTCGGCGGTCAAGGACGTGGGTCCGATCCCCAAGCTCAACGTCAACGCGCTCGGCATTGTCTCGACGTCCGTCTCGGACGGCCCCGGCAAGATCTTCATCGGCGGCCTCCCGTACCACCTCAACGAAGAGCAGGTCAAGGAGCTCCTCCAGGCGTTCGGTGCACTCAAGTCGTTCCACCTCGTCAAGGAGCTCAACACGAATCTCTCCAAGGTACCATATTCGGAAAAAACCCCCGAGACGAGGCGATTCTGCGTAGGGCTATGGGTTTTGCGAGTACATGGACCCGGAGGTCACGCAGGTCGCGTGCGCGGGCCTGAACGACATGCAGATTGGCGACAAGACGCTCACGGTGCGTACGGCGCTGACGGCCGGCGGCCTCTACCCGCCCGACCACCCGCACGCGCCGCCGCAGCAGCTCGGCAACCCGGGCGTGACGACGACGACCATGATGCAAGCCGCGACGTCGTCCAACCCGCTCCTGTTGAACGTGGATCCGATCTTGCAGCAGCTGCAGAAGCACCAAGCGATGCCGCTGCAGATCGTGCCCAGTGTGCCTCTGGGCGCGCCGTCGCGCATCATCGTGCTCCTCAACATGGTCACGCCCGACGACCTCACCGACAACGACGAGTACCAGGACATTTGCGACGACATTCGCGCCGAGTGTGAAAAGTCGGGCCCGATCCGGTCCATGGTCGTGCCGCGCCCCGGCGAGACGCAGTACCAGACGGCCTCGGTCGGCAAGGTACACCTTTCTTCTTGGTTGGCATGATAGGCTCAGTGCTTGGCGCTAGATCTTTGTCGAGTTTGGCGAAGTCGTCCACGCGCAGCACGCGTCCAACGAGTTGCACGGGCGCGGGTTTGCCAACCGAACGGTTGCCGTCGAGTTTATGTCGGAGACCAAGTTTGCGCGCCGCGAGTTCTAAGCCATGCGACCACATCGGTTCGACTCGTAGGAACACTGAATACAAGCATTTTCTTCTCGCCTTGCGCGTTGTCGGTGGCCATAGCAAGAAGGTCTTAAGCACCATGGAGTGAGACACTGACTGTATTGTTGGCAGTATGGGCTCTGGAACTGGCATCGTCGTACCCTCTCACAGCTGCGCAACAACGATCCCAGAAGGCGACGCACGACGTGGCCATTTGGTACAGAGGATCAAGACACCATTATTGTGTCGCCAGTTCAAATCTCAACCACAAGATCGTTGTTGTTGAAGTGGGTCTTCTATTACTATAGATAAAACTATGCTAAAAAATTGTCGGAATTTCTTCGTTGTGTACACTCGGTTGAGGAACTTGGTCAACCACAACAACGGGCTGGAATCATTGCGTGGTTGGAGCTCAACTTGCGGTTGCGAGCGTTCAACCGGTCGGCAACCTCAGGCGCGTGTCTGGCGAGCTCTCAGAACTCAGATGTCGAGTGATGGTTTCTCAACAAGTGACCATCATTCGGCGATTGCTGTTGGAACGTCACAAATGCAGTAGGATCCTGTGGCGGCTAGCGGTCTGCGGGCTGGTCTGCGTGGCCACGACGGTGGTTCTGCGTGGGAGATTATCTATGATGAAGCTTTCTTATAGCTGTATGCATTCTAGCTGAGACGCGTTCAATCAGTCGCAGGCAACACACTGGTCTGAACGGTGCAGTCTGGCACCCGATTCAAATTCCGAGTCGGTTGCCCAGCAATGTTCATGCTAATACCTCGCACTTTTCATCCCTTTTGTCTGCCGTGGGCTGTGGCGCGTTCCATTAGCGTCATAAATGACATCCCTCGGTGGAACCGTCTCTTGTTCCGTCTACCACAGGTCGAATTATCGTTAGTATGCACACTTGATGCTGCTGCTTGGCGCTAATGTGTCAACCCCACAACCCGAACGACACCAGTGGACGGCGACACCTGCTCGTACAATACGCGGCGTACACGTACATTACAGACAGATATGTAATAGAATTCCAAAGTGTACTTGTACGTACGTACAATGTACATTGGGATATCCCAGGAGCGTCCCACATTGCAGGATTTACAAACTTGCAGCACACAACCCAGGAGGACAACTGATTCAGGAGCGAGAGACTTGTAGGAATAGTTCTTTTGTATGCCCACAGGCCAGGACGGTTAAGAGCCGAGTGTTGGTGTGCTCGGTGCGAGCATGGGACACCTCGCTTCGTTGTTTTCCATGTCCGAGTCGACTGTCTACTTCATTTACAAAATGGCGACTTCAGCACCATCGCCGTGCCTCTTTGACGGGTGCACCAACCCGTCGCTGCCGTCGCGCAACAAGTGTCACTTTCATCGGTACCGCTCCAAGTGCAGCGTCGACGACTGCTTCAATCAAGTCTACGCGCGGCGTCTCTGCGTGAGCCACGGCGGCAAGAAGCTCTGCAAGCACCCAAACTGCGCGACGCCCGCCCGCGTCGGCGACTACTGCACCAAACACACGACGCGCGTCCCAGTCGCTTGCCAATTCGCCGGCGGCTGCGCCCGCCCCGCCACCGCCGGCGGTGTGTGCACACTACATGGCGGTGGCACACCGTGTGCAGTCGACTGCTGCTTGATGCCGGCGCGGGTGGGACAATTTTGCTGGAACCACCGCAACCGGATCATGCCAAGTACGACGGCGATGACGCCCGACAACTGCGACGCGCTGGCACTCATGCTCGATGAATGGGCCTCGACGGACGGACCCCACTTGGAGCTTCAGGACATTGATTTGGACGGCATCTTGGACGACATTATCGCATTTAGCAGCGCGTCACAAAGCAGATACGATTGAGCAGTAGTCGTCGCGGTTTCGGTCTGTATTAGTTGTTAGAGCTACATTGACACCCGACTTGTATTTATAAACGTGTTTTGCGATACCTTACACTACTACAGCCCTTGTCGGGTCTCGATTGGAATCTGCACTTGCATGCGAGTGCACACTTCGGTATCGCTTCCTGTATGACCGCACGCATCGGACGCAATTGACTTCAGCTCAAACTATTGGCGCCCGAGACGACAATCCGCCAGGGGCGCATGTCTTCTCTGCATTTGTAATCACTGCACGTTGGCGTGTCCGAAAAATCGATCTTCCGTTGGACTGCCACGTACCCCACATTCATCACCTTCAACGTCACCGGACGCACACAGTTTTTGAGACAACTGGCTTTTTCATCCACGTGGCGCCTCGAGATTCGTTTGCGCTTGAAATGGCCACAACGAGGCAACTTTTGCATAATTTTAGGCGCCGCGGATGTGCCCGCAAGCTTCTTGCTGTCGCCAGAAGGGACAAAGTATCGCACGCAGAGCGATTACCAACGTGGCGTTAGCGTTGGACTCGCGCGGTGACCGTCATACTACGATAGTAGCTTGTTTGGCTTACAAACAAACAGCGCGCCACTGCAATTTTGCAGAATTCCTCCGATGGACTCTTCATTATCTCGTGTTTAAAACACATTGCCCATATAACTGGGTATTTGTATAGGATTGCGAATAAAACCCGCCTGAATCGACACGTTTTGGACACGACGCTGATTTCAACAATCCAGTTGTCGCCCACGGAGCGGCCACGGTACGCCAGTTCGTGGCGTCTGGCGATCGGCGGCAACACATGTTGTCAAGGAGAAAATAAAGCGTCGCGCACGTGAAGGAAGAAGTCCAAGTGCCCTTTTGCGGATCCCATATTTCAAATTTCTTTTGATGAGCCAGCACCAAGTTCCAACGATGCCAATGACGTGCGTCTTCAACGGCTGCTTGGCGCCCACCATGACGTACTCGGACAAGTGCTCGTTCCACCGGTACCGCTCCAAGTGCCAGGTGCAAGACTGCTTCAACCAAGTCTACGCGCGGTCGCTTTGCGTCGGCCACGGCGGCAAGAAACACTGTGCGTTTGACGGCTGCGCAACGACCGTGCGCACGGGTGACTTTTGCGCCAAGCACTCGCGCAAAGCCAAGCCTCTGTGCTCCGAGCCGGGCTGCGAGCGCGCCGCGCACCAATGGACCAAGTGCACGCACCACGGCGGCGGCAAGCCGTGCTCCATTGCTGGTTGCGCCCTTCCCGCGCGCATTAGCGGCGTGTGCTGGCCCCACCGCAACCGCGTGCTGCCCGAGCCTGCCTTTTCCAACGAGACAGACGGCGACGCGCTCATCTTGATGCTGGACGAGTGGATGAAGGATGAACCGCTGATGGCGCTCGACGACGACGATGTCGACTTCCACGGCATTTTGGACGACATTCTTCTCTCCATGTAAATCCTTCGACCGCAGAGGGTGCGCTAGTACTACCTACGACACCGTTTGGATTATCATAATTTAAATAAACAAAATATAGCTTCCTAGTAGACCGTTAAGAGTTTCAGCCGACTTATTTGATAGTACCGATAGACGAAACCACCCAATAATGCCAGCAGTGCTCATTGCACCAATATAAAAGCATCATGACAAGTGTGGAAACATGGGGTTAGGGTTTTCATTGATGGAATCGAATGCATGTGAGCAGAGCAACCGCGCGACTTGATTTCGAGCTTGCTCATGTTGCTAGGCTGTGGGTGGTGAGATTGGAAACTTCGGTTGCCAAGATAGTATCGTATCATGAGGGGACCACATCTCAAATCGACGTGGACCAATGGATGTGAGCCACGCGATCTTTGATGCCGCTTAAATAACGCGGCGCCAAAGATTGCATGTGTAGTGGTGCTTGATTTAAGAGAGTTAGAGTCCAAACTCTGCTCGGAAATCGTGTTTTCTTCTCGAATTTACTAGTCCTTGCGTTGATCTGATTGGGTTCGCTTTGGGTCGTCGACGACGTGCTTTTGTGCGCTTTGAAGCGTTGACGGCAAGACGATCACTCGCAAACCGTTTTGGCGAAGCGAGCCGGCAGGGACGTGAATGATTGCATCCACCGAAATAGTGTACGTCGTCGTCACGCCACCGATACTTCAATTGGCACAACGGAGCGACGCCGCCAAAGACACCCGTGCTTTACAAACGAACGGCAGTGCGTGGGACAGGTACACCGGGTCAATCTCTAAATAGTGTGAGATTTTGGCGCATGATCGCTTCAAGGATGCTGCCTGCATATAAGCGCCGCTTTCGCTACCCTCTCTCGACATGCCTACAAGCATATTATGCACATGCAGCTTGAAGGCAAACGCCAGTCGAAATCGCCCCGTCTTGTTTTGCTGTATGCAACAACTTGCGATGGTGACGTTGAAGTACGATGACACCACTTGATTCGGACGAGAATGGTGTTACATCGTATTAAACAGACCACCATGCTGTCTGTTTACAACAGACGACTTAGGTTGATTCGATACATGCCTTTGTTGCCAAAAGGTTTCCAACAGTGTTTTATACAGTGGACCACGCGACATGGCGAAACAAATCCAGCCGACGCCACAAGATCGCTCGGGCGTGACGATGTCATTTTCGAATTTCCTCTTTCCTCATGAACTGCCTCTTCAACGGGTGCTCGAAGCCGGTCGTGCCATCTCTCGACAAGTGCGCCTTCCACCGCTACCGCTCCAAGTGCAAAGTTGACGGCTGCTTCAACCAAGTCTACGCCCGCCTTCTCTGCGTCAGCCACGGCGGGAAGAAGACGTGTCAGTCCCCAGGCTGCGCCTCGCCCGTGCGGATCGGCGATTTCTGCACCAAGCACACGACACGGTCCAGCATCACCTGCTCCGTGGACGGGTGCACTCAAGACACGGCCGCCGCCAACCAAACCACATGTCCGCTCCACGGCGGCAGCAGCAACTGCGCCGTTGACGACTGCGTTAAGCCCGCTCGCATGGGCAAATTCTGTTGGCACCACCGCAACCGTGTGCTCTCCAAGCCCATGCCGCAAGACGCCTTGCCGTGCAACGACGGCGACGCGTTGATCCTCATGCTCGACGAGTGGATGATGGACGAGTCGCTCGCATCCTCGCTCGCAGACGACTTTATCGACTTTGATGGGATTCTAGACGACATCATTTCGTTCTAAACTCGATGTAAACAATCTATTTATACTTGTACCAACATTGTCCAACGTCAACTGCACAGAGCGACTCTGGATGGTGCCAGTAGAAAGTAAAAAATCAAGTCGAAACCGAATTGGAGTCGTGTCCAGCGTTTGAAATCGGATATATAGTCCTAATTAGGCACGTTACAACCGGTTCGTTTCGGCTCGATGTATAAGACATGTATCAAACACACCGCCCTGCAGTTGTCATGCCAACAGACGGCGTCGAGGGCCATAGGCTTCGCTCGTGCAGCCATACAACGTACCATCTTTCGCACCTCGATGGGTAGCACATCGCTTCAATGTTGGTCGTTGGCGTAGCGCTAGCCGTCCTACTTCCTACGCGTGTCGATCACACCCATGCAACAATTACGTTTCTTTACCAAGCATACACACTGTTTTAAACAGGCACTCGCCACCAAGACCCGTTTTCGGTCAGTGTGCAATTTCCAACGAGACGAGCAGAGCAGCAGCATGGTCGGGTCTTGTGTCTTCAAGGGCTGCGCTCAGCCCGCGGCCGTCGGTAGCAAGTGCGCCTTCCACCGGTACCGCGCCCAGTGCCGGGTCGAAGGATGCGCCAACCAAGTCTACGCCCGGCGTCTCTGCGTGGGCCATGGCGGCAAAGAGACGTGCGAGGTCGACGGCTGCGGGTCGCCCGCCCGCGCTGGCAAGCGCTGTAGCAAGCACTGCACAAAAGTACTCGGCATCTGCGGCCACGACGGCTGCACGAACGCGGCGCGCGGCGCGAAGACCAAGTGCTTCGCCCACGCTGGCGCCACGCTCTGCGGCGTGGCCGGCTGCGGTGCGGCGGCGCGAGACCGTGGCGTGTGCTGGCCGCACCGCAACCGCGTCGTGGCTGCAGCGCCGCCACCTTCGAACCCTCTCTTCTCTGACTTTGAATTGATCCCACGATTCTCCTCGACCCTCCAGAAGGAAGAAGGCGAGAATGAGGCGATGCTCTCGGTCGAGCTCATGATGGCGCTCGAGGTCTCGATGGAGGATCCATGGGCAGACCGCATGGACGAGGACATCTTGGCGATGGACTCGTTCTTGGACTTTGGCGGATTCGTCTCGTTGGACTTGATGGACGTAAGCTTGGCGCCGCTCGACAATTGCACGACCCAAGGTACGACTGCCATCGCGTTCGAGTGACGACTCCTCGAGGCCCGATCCTATCTCTTGAAGCCCCGTCCTCTCTCTTCCAGTAGCGCATGCCGTTGCTCCACGCCCGTATTTATAACCCCCAGAAACACCACCACCTCGACCGCGCTGTACACATCGTCTATCGTCCCTTTGGCATCTCGTAATATATTACTTCTTTAGCTTTGCTTCAAATGTGTACAATAACGTCTATAGCATGTACAACAATGTCGTCTTCCGCTTCAACACCTCGTGTCCACACAAGAAGGCGCGCGACAGAGTGCCATGCTGATTGGTGTGAATGATGGTCAATCGCGGACGGTTCCTCGACCATCACTCTTGAAACCAGTGGCGGGAACCGCACTGGACGCGGCGACCTCATATATCAGAATCAATGGTAAAGTACGTTTGTTGTCTGTAGTAGACACTATCCACTATGAGCAAAAAACTACTGTCGCTAGTATAGATAGAGGTCCCTTCTTCCGCAGCGCTCTATATGGCGACGCGGACGGTCCTTGCAGTCAATTTCCACTTTGTCGTATCTTGACGCCGCCTGTCCCATCGCTTGACGCCAAAACGAGGAGCCTGTCGAGGGTCTTGCGGCACTGACAATATGTAGTCGAACGGCGATAAATTACTTTGGCGTCGTCTGTCATAAATTGCGAGGACCCGGGTACGGGGTCGGGGTGCTCGCTTCTTCGTGCTGCGTCGCGGCATCTTCGTTCATCCACGCATCCACGATCGAGAGGAGTGGGTCGTCACTTGTCGTCGATGACTTGTGGCGGTGGCGCCAGCAGTAGCCGCTCACGCGCGCGCGGGTCCGGCACTGCGGCGCCAGACACTGTTTGCCGCCGCCGTGGGCAATGCAGCGGTTGCGCCCGTACGCCTTCTTGGCGCAGCCTTCAATCGAGCAGAGCGGCTTGTGCTTGGCGCCGCCGTGCTTGGCGCAGAGGTCGCCGGCGCGGGCGTTCGTGGCGCAGTTGGGGTACTGGCACGTGCGCTTCCCGCCATGCCGAATGCAGAGGTGCCGCGCGTAGACCTGGTTGGCGCAGTCCGGCACGCTGCACTTGGTGCGGTTGCGATGAAAGTGGCACTTGTCCGAGCCGTCGAGCGCGGGCTGGCCGCAGTCGTTAAAGACGCATGTCGCCATGGGCTGCGCAATTGCTAAGTGCCGTGGTATGTTGGTGTCATCGGCGAACATATTAGAGGCCACGCGACACACGATGATAACCGAGGTGCAATATCAGGATGGCGGGGCAATATCATATTACACTCGTGCGCGCCTCAACTCAGACGAGCGCCCTGGCGTTAGTCACAAGCCAGCTGGACGATCCGAGGGCGTAAAAACACCCATTGCAAAGTTGCTTTTCTGCATGCAACATGTTGAGTACTCGGTAGCATGGAGCTTCGAATCGCCGTCGTTGGGTTGTTTGCGACCTCGACGAGTTTATTGCTTTTGGTGGACTCGGCTGGACGTCCGTACTGGCATCCGCAACGCTATTCCAACCTCGATGATAGTCTGCAGCTGCTCGTAAACTCACGTCATCTTTGGTTGTTCAATGGTGATGGGCGATCATGTCCTGGCCGAAATGACAGACCGTTGCGACATCATTAAGCGCGACAGGAAGAGTAGCGCTTGATGATGTAGCGTCGCGACTACCGGTAAGCGGACCGCTTTGAATGCATCCAAAAACCTCGGTAGATTCGGTGCCGACTACACTCTGCAACAGCCGGGTCGAGTGATTCGTTGACGTTAGTTGTTGGGTTTGCCATTGTTCTTTACTGGACCAACCGAGCTCGAGCTGTGGCGGGCCGGGATCGAATGCGATCGGCGCAGGGCTCGTCCACCGCCCTTTGGATTCTCGGCCAAAGGCAGCGGCATGGGTGGCTCCTCGGACCGATTGGTATGCGCCACTGCGACCGGTATCTATGTATACGTATCCCGTTCGATTATTCCAAATCATGGAGCATCTATGGTCTGTACCGTCGCAGGCGGGTGCCGAGTCGCTGCTTGTGCCAGCTCGTTGGCCTTTTGCACGTTGAGCTCGTGCTGCGTTTCGACGTCCTTTGCAAAGACGTCGAGTTTTCGTTCCTACAGCACAACGGTGCAAGTATCAGTGTATCCACCAACACGTTAGCTCATCGCACCCGACACCGGAGCCATTTTTCCTTCTCGGCGCGCTCCGTGTCTCTCGTTTCAAGCTCGAGTGCGCGTGCGTCCAGCTCGGTCGCTCTCGCTGCCACGACTGCCTCTCGCTCGGCCACCGCATGCTCTACATTGTGTACAGAAGTCTACATTTGTGTGCAGCGACACACCGCGTGCTGTGAGCGCCGCTTCGCGTGTCTTGTGCTCGTCGGTCATCACCGACGTTGCCTCTTTGATGGCCCGGAGCTCGCATTCTTGCTCCCGCAAGCGACCTTGTTCGACGGCCAACTAGACATGGCGTCCGTACACGATGCGGGAAAAGAGTTTTGTACTTTGGACATGTTGTCTTGGTACTGGCGCAACTCTCTCTCGCGCGCCTATGGATCCATCCTTTTCAAGGGCTTGGACGGGACATACAAAACCTCGGCGAGTCGGACGGTTGCGGCTTGCGTCTCGAGCTGCCACGCTGTGACGGCATCATCGTGCTGGGCTTGAAGGCGACTGTGGTTGTCTTCCCACTCACGCTGACGTGTCTCCAAAAGCGTTTCCATCGTGGCCAGCTACGTCGTCTTCTGCTTCCAGCCCCTACAAATCGGCTTTGATTCACCTGTTTCTCTTGCAGGACGAGCCGTTCCCCCCATAACGCTAGCTCCTAACGTCCTAGGATTCAAAAAGATACATGGCAATGCACAAGTTGACACCTGCGCGCGGTGTCGAAGGGCGAGTTCTCGACTTTCGTCATTGTGCACTGGTGGCGGCTAGAACACGTCTTCAGTGCACACGATCGATGCCGCGAAGTGGCGACCCACCTGTGCCGGAGGCTGTGCGACTTGGGCCTCCTGGGCTTGAAGCGCAGCTTGGCACTGCGCCAAGAAGGCCTCTCGGTCCCGCAGCGCTTTTTCTAGTGCATCGAGCTTGGCTTGTTTTTGCTACAGCATCACTAAGTTCAGAGCGTAGTAAACTCTGTGGACCGCTGCTTCGTGGCTGCGCTTCTCCACGACTTCCTAATCAAACAACGCTGATCGAAAAGTCAGCCGATGGCGCAGCAACATACGTAGAGTTTGTTGAGCTTGACTTGCTGACTCAAAACATTCGATTGCTGATTGCGCATCTGTGTGCAAGGCTGGATTATGGCGCCTCCGTGAAAGAATGACCTCGTCTTGATCGCGAAGCAGCGCTCGCTCACGTGCCGCGAGCTGGTCCGCTTGGGCTTTAAAGTAGAGGTCCACTTTGGCGGTCTCTAGGTGCTTGGACGTGCGCTGCTCGTGCTTTAGTGCCTATGCCAGCCATGGTACTCATTATATTCTCGCCCATTCTGGTCTACCAGTTCCTTGTCTGAGCATTGAAGCTGGCTCAAGTCCTGCTGCTCGTTCTAACGACTCTGCGCATAAAAGTGTTTCCTACAGGACAGGTTGATTCCGTACATTCCACTCGGGGCGGCTTGAGGTGGAGTAGAGCTTGGCCTTGGCGAGCTCTCGCGCGCCGCGAAGGCCCTGGGTTGACCTCATACCACAAGTTGCACGACCGTTTCAAGGTCGAGACCGTCACCCCATTTCAAGCTCCCGCGGTTAGTATACCACTGCTAGATGATCAGAACGACACCCCGTCCATGTTGACAAAAGGTCATGTAAATCCGATCCTATCCTACTCAGCCTCGAGAGGGCATGTTGACGAGCCGTGACCGACTGTGCATACGGTGCAGATCTGAAATGGATGCAAGAATGATGCAAGATAGAAATGACACTTATTTCGATGATCTAGTGGAGATCATTACGAAAGGCCTCTTTATGAACCTCAAGGGCACGTTCAGCGTAGCGTAACACCATGGGTCGGACCGCAGCGCCAAGCTCACGTGCGACGGTGTACGCATTGCGCTCTAAACTTTTCAACAACCCAATCGCAGAATCTCTGAGACGAACGGGACCTCGCCGCGTACGCTGACCATCTCGAAGCCCGAACGCCGCCAAGTTGCATACATACCATGCACGATGGCATGGATGCTTGGGACTTCTAACCAAGTGGTTGTCGTCTGCAAAGATAGATTGAATAGGTGGCAGCGTCGCAGGCGCCAGCTGCAGCTTGGGGAGCGCATTATGCCCAACGTCCAAGTACTCGAGCGCCCGTAGCTTTTGAATGTGGCCGAAGAGGCGGGTTTGGCTCAGCGCGTGCCAGCTTGCGTACACTGTCGGAGACAGGTTGCCCAGGGCTGGCGAGTCGGTCACGTACTGCGTCTGGAGCAAAGATGGCGGTGAGAGAAGTGCAGCTGGCAGCGCACTGAGGCGAGTATCGTGCAAAAAGACGATAGCCACGTCGCGGGAAGCTGCGGAAGGACCCAGCGCTGGAGGTGGAGCCACAAGAGCGTCGGACTCGCGAGATGTGTCAAGTAGTCGTCCCAGTCGCGTAGGGGTCCGTCAAGTGCGCAGTCCCATCGAAAATGGACGCAGTGACAACTCGCACTCGCCCAGGACGGCGACGCGAAAGTAACTCCGGTACGTCGCCAGCACCAGCAGCGCGCGTGCGACGACAGCGTCGACAGCGTACAAGCCAACGCGCCAGCGCCGGTTCAAGGGCATCCCCGAAGCGACGAGCCCCGGACGCACTTTCTCGAAAAGTTCTTTTTGACATGGAAGCCGCGGAGACACGGCGCACCTGTCTTCCGAGATCAAGCTGAGCGTTTGGGTGCGCTTGACGCGGCTTGGCACGACGCGGACGGCGGCGACGACTCTTTGGAGTCGCCCGTAGTACGTCGCTAGCAGTGCAATCAACCGCGTCCCAACATCGAGCGGCGACGACGAAAGCACGAAGCGCCACGTCGGAACGTGGGTCGCCGCCCAGTAAAAATGGCGGCTCTGGTGGCGACGATGCAAGCCGCTATTGGCGGCCGGCAATATGAACACAAAAAGCACATAGCCCACGGTAACGTAGAACGAAAGGGGCGCGTACGAAAACAAGACGAGCGGGGTTCGAAGCGTTGGCCGCTTGGCGCAGACCCACGAGGCTTTTGCTCGTCCACGCCATGTGGGCGACGTAAACCCGAGCGAGCGACCGGGCTCGACAAGCGTCGCCGCCATAGCCGACGCCGAGTGAACATGCGCCGCCATTTCGAGAGCGTGCCAATACGGTGCATCTGTCCTCCACGTCGCGGGGGCGGCGTCAGTTTGTGGCGCAAATGATCCACATTGGGAGTACTGACGCCATGCAGCCACTTGGATGCAAAAGTCCTGCGGCACAGTAGGCGACGCCAGAGGGCCCCAGCACCTCGGCTGCACCGGTGAAGTGGGCACCGCCGAGTGCGGTGGCAACAACAAGCTGAGAGCGTGATGACCGAGGACCAGACCATGGATCGTCTGGCAGGTGAGTTGGTGTCGCTGCATTGCCGCGTGCACTCGAACTTTGACCCGCACACGTCAGGCAGGGTCCTTTAACGCCGGGGGATGAGCCCGAAAGGTTCACGCTAAAATTACGCTGTAAAACCGATGGAGGTGCCGAGCCTTGAAACCAAGGCCGCGCTCGAGCTCGACTCGTACCTCGCCGAGGCCGAGGTCGAGCCGACGCTCACCAAGGACCAGCACATTGCCATCCTCAAAGAGCGTCTCGCGCGGCGTTGCGCGCTCATCGATGTACACTCTGTCTTATTGACATAATGTATACATGTAATTGGCTAGACGATTCGGCACGCGTACTACCGCGATGTGATTGTCGTCAAGGAAAACCTCTTGGCGCGTGAGCTGCATCCAAGCACCGGGTCGGTCGACGAGCGCGTCCACGCGCTGCCGTCCGTGGACCTCCGCGACACACTCCCGCTCTTTGCTCCGTCCCAGACGTATCTGCGCGTGCATCCCTGCGACGTGTGCGGTGGGTCGTTGGAGCTCGTCCACGGCGAGGTACCCTTACACAACGAAACCTCAGCCCGCCGACGGTGTGGTAGACACAAGAGCTCAACGAAGCGCGGTCGCTGTGTGCCAAGGCCCAAAAAGGCGAGCAAAACATGAAGGGTACCTTCCATTGCGTCGTCGGATGGCGGACGATACGTGCAATGTGCAGGCATCGTGCACCGGCTGCGCGCCGAGCTCAAGGAAGCGACCGAGATCTCGGACGCGCTGCAGCAGCGGCTGCGCGCCCTCACCAAGGAGAACGCGTTTACGCTCGAGCAGCTCCAGATCTCGCGCAAAGCCGAGCGTGAACAAAAAACATGGCTGGCCGAGCTCAAATCCAAGCTGCACGCCGCCACCGCCACGTCCGAGAGCGTTTCCAAGCTCACGCAACAGGTGCAAAACGATAGGTCGACGCTCGAGCGACGATGAACCTGTTGTTGTATAGCTCAAGGAGCTCCACGCCGAGCACGACGAAGTGACGAGACAAACCAAGCTCCTCGTGCGCCAACGCGACGACATGCAAGACGAGGTTCATGACGCAGAGGCAAAAGGAGGATCTCATGTTGAGGTAGCTCGATGCCCTTGTGCTGAGCCACGCCGCGCTCAAAGCCGACTGCATGCGGCACCAATCCGAGTGCGAAGCTACGAAGCGCCAACTCGACGACATGACGGACCTCAAGACGCATTTTGCCACCGAGTTCAACGCGTTGGCGGCCAAGCACAAGGAGCAGCTCCACGTCTCCGAGATTGTGCAAGAGTCGCTCGTCAAATGCAAACAAGACTTGGCCACGCTCTCGACCAAGTGTGTTATCCCTGTCGCCATGCCTAGAGAGTACTAGTCGATGGGGATTAGGTTTGAGCAGACCAAGCGACAACTCGAAGACCAACTGGCGGGCGAAGAAATGGAGCGTGAAAGCACGCACGAGCGGTACCTCGAGGAGAAGAAGCGCTGCAAGCAGCTCACGGCCGAGGCGGAGCGAGCCCGGCGCGACATGACCGAGTACCAAGAGCTGTACGCTCAAGTGGTGAGCCAAGCGGACGGCGTCGAGCGGGCCCACCAAGCGCACGTGCTTGAGGAAGCGGCGCTGTGGACCGAGGAATGGCATTTTATGGTCTGTCCCCACGCCCTACTGGACCTCATGACGAAATGCGATAGCGGCTCGCGCTGGACCAAGCACTCATGCGCGAGAACGACTTGGCGTCCGAGGTCATGAAGCGCTACTACGACGATGACAAGGACACTGACGGCGACGGCGACACGGGCTTTTTCATCCCGTCCTACAACGAGGACGCCGATGAGGACGACGAGGACGTCGAGGACTCGGACAGCGAGCGGCAGTCGACGCCGCAGCTGCCAAGCCGTCCAATGACGCCAATGACGGACGCGAGCTTGGTCGCCGACGCGCCACGGCAGCCCACGCCGTCTTCAGCTGGCGTACGTCGTCATGATGATGGAGAGCGCGTCGATATCAACCATTATGTGGTGTAGCGTCAAGAGAATCTCGACCGCCCCGGCAGCGTCGAGACAGACAGCAAGAAGAGGCGCCCGGTCTCGAGGAAGACGAGCAAAAACGGCGAGCTCGCCCATCTCCTCTCTGAGATGAAGGACATGCAAGACAAGTGCAAGGTGTTGCGCAACAAAGCGCATGAGGCCGACAAGCACGTGGCGCAGCAGACGGCAAAGATCAATGAGCTCACGCTGACCAACCAAGCGCTTGAAGCCACGTACGTGCATATTATCTTTGGATGGAGACGAATCGCCAAGGATGTCGTAGCATCAAGGACTATGTCTCTGAAAACAGCGAGCGCAACCAAAGTGAAACCGAGCTCTTCCGAACTCTCAAGAGCTTGCGGGAAAATGTAACGCGAATGAATTGCGTCGTTGCGACGGTTCTTGTAGATCGAGGCGCTCAAGGCTGAAATCACCCGATACGAGCGCAAGGTCACATCGTTCGAGGGTTTTTTTAGCAGCATTGCCTGCGAGATCTACCATTTTTACCAAAATTCCCAACTGCTCGCACCCATTGAAGTGCTTCCGGTCGTCGTGCCCGAGGACGAACCCTCTAAGTACGACCCATCGAATAGGACGACCACCCGAGCCAACCCTTGTCTGTGTTAGGGCGACACTGCCACCAGAGATCCTCGTTTGGTCATCTCGCCGGCGCTTTCCCACTAAGATGTCGCGTAGGCCAAGCGCGCCATCATGAAGCGAGAGCTCTACGAAGAGAAAGTCGTCAACAACTACATTTACGTCTACAACGAGCGCATCGAATTGGTAGATGATGCTTGTACGGATCCATTGATGGACAATACTGTCTAGTACCTTGTGGACCTCAAGCGCGCGTACGATTTTATGCTCGAAGTCAAGCACGAATCGCTCATGTTTAAAAAGACCTGCGAGGTCCGCGATCGCGTTGCTTTTGAAAGAAAACTTAGAGTGCTGTGTAGTCCCAAGCAGGCACCATTGAAAAGCTCCAGGACTCGGTCGAACGCCTCAAGATGGCGCTCGATACGGAGCGCACGAGCATGGCCAAGCTCGAACGCATGTCACGCATCACGACCAACGACCTCACGCAGCTGCAAGACAAGATGCGGTCGTACGAGCGCGAGGTGCACCGATGACGTCGTCGATGGAGATGTTGCGACACTGCTGCTCCTAGTCGAGCGACATTGAGTTGGAGCGCAATCGGCTTTTGGAAGAGAAGCGCAAAATTGCTTTCATTATGATGGAAAAATCCAAGACCTTGGACCGCGAAATCGACCTCAACCAGCAGGTGCGCTCACAAGCGTCGAGTATGGATTCCAATATGTTTCTAGATGGCCAAGAGACTCCAGGAAAAGGATTCGGACATGAGCCGCCTCCACGACACGGTGTCGACCCTCGCAGCGGCGGTACAAGCCACCATGCTGAGGACACCGCTTTGAGGCTTGCTATCGCGTCGTAGGTCAAGACGTTTGAAGACGCGATTCAATTTCGAAAAGACACCAACCGCGACGTGGGCATTCTCGTGCTCCCGACGCTCGACGATACAAGCATGCAGACCGATCCGTGGAAACCGCAGGTCTGCAACCATGAAAAAAGGATATGTTGAACCTGGCACGGGGTAGGGTCTCATTCTTCGCCAGCGCAACAGTTCCAACCAGGTGCCGCAGCGCTACGAAGGCCCGGTCAAGATCATGGTCGCGTGTCCGAGCTTGGACGTGCTTCTCGGCGAGAAGACGCTGGACCGTCCGGTGACATCGGCCTCGATGACGGCACTGCCGTCGGCCGTCGACAACAATAATCATACCTCTGGGCGGCGGGTGCAAACTGCCGACGCAGTGCTTCTCGGCGCCTCCCACCGAAAGCCGCAGCGAAAGACGCACGTCGGGCGCATCAACCTACCACGCGTGAATCTCCCGCGACATCCGTCCAGTACCAGCCTCGACCCGCTTGTTGATAACTTTGTCGATGGAGCCACTTGATAGTATGGTTTGAAATGGCAGAGGAGCTATTTTGTGAAGCGAGAAATGCCACCGTCAGCAGTCCGGAGTGTGGTGTACGACCGCAAGCACTATTATTAATAGTTCGCTCTTAAAATCTGCATCGGCTTGTGCCAGATGGCGTCGGTCAGATGTGGATGCAGGACCAGGCAGCTTGTTTGATGTGTGAGGAATTGCGTGGGGACGTAAAACGCAGGAATCATCCACATTTGCAACGTTGATCCAAGTTTGATGCAAGACATCGATGTTGCGCAGTAGACGGATGACGACAAGTGTCAATGTTCCGGGAGGTCTACGGATGCCGTGACCGTCTTTGTCGCAAAGGAACTGCTGGTCTAGTGCAATATGAACCTTCCAGCGTATAATAAGGAACCCACACCCAACAGACAAATCCATTGGTATCCAAGCCAGTACAATTGTAGACCAGTCTTTTGACTCTCAGTCAAGTCAGATGGAAGAGCACGCAGATGGCGTGACCACTAAGTGCGGCCCTCAAAGGCAAAGGTTCCGATCGCGTCACTTTCGAAGGTTACTCGGCTCGGCGCCATGGAGACGAGAAGCGTGGACAGGACCTTGCTCCCACTCGAGTGCTTGCGCTGCTACCGCCGCTCAACAACCGACCTCATTGCGCCCTGCAACTGTGCCTCGTACGTCCACCGCGACTGCTTGGACGCGCGTCGCGTCCTCAACGCGTCGGCGGTGACCCACTGCAAGGCCTGCGGCGAGGCGTACGACTTGTACGAGGTGCCGAGTGAAGCGGCCGAGTACAAGCGGCGCCTGCGCATGGCGCATCTGCTCCGCGTGCTCTTCGTGCTGCTTGTGGTGCTGCTTGGGTGCGGCATGATCTACGCTGTCGAGGAGAGCACGGCCAGAAAGTACCGCAATTCGTGGACCGACGAGGATCGGGCGCTCAACGAATGGCTCGCGTCGATCGGTTGCCCGCGCTTTCTCGGCCACTTTGTCATGAGCCTTTTCTTCACGGCGATCTTCATGGGCATCTTCATCGGCTGCCAACGGATTGCGCCGACGATGGAGCGTTGCATCAACGCGTGCGAGAACCGGTTCGGTCGCTACAGTACCACGATCCTCGGCGTGTGTTTCGTGGTTCTCTTCATTGGCATGATGCGCCTCGTCGGCCTCTACATGGTGCTCTTTGCGCTTACCGGCGTGTTTGGCGCAGTAGCCAGCGTTGGTGCCACCCTCCGCTTTCACAAGATTCACGTCCAGTACCGTCACGTCCAAGACCGACGACTGCATGTCGACGGCGCCAACATTAGTCCAGCCTAGAGTCAGGCACCCAAAGGACATGCAAGGAACTCGAGATGTGGCGAAGACGTCTTCTACTTTGAAGACCTTCCAGTGGACCGTGCGTACATGGTCTGCGTACGCCGATGCTAGAGCAGCGAGGACGATGCTTCGGGCGACTGCGTTTTTCTTCTTTTCTAACTTGATTGTTGCGGTGCTTTGGTGCATGAAGAAAACTCGCAGGTGGCACACGCGACCGCATCGCGTGGGCACGTGGCGGAAATGGCTTGCGCGAGTGGACTACCAAGGCCATGAATATGGTATCAAACCGGGGGGTTGCAGGTTGGTGACGTGGCGATGTCTTGTCTCGGCGACAGCAAGGCCGGGCGAGGGTCGCTGAGCTCCTAGATAGACTAGAGCGGTGCTGACGAGAGTCGTTGACGTTTGAAACACCCGTGTCCGCGCTGGAGTGAACGTACGGTACTGTAGTACCCACCATAAGGACGTGAGCTTAGTGTTTCGAGCGACGCACATGGTACCAATAACGCCTGCCATGGAGACCTTGAATCGCCAATGGAGGCCGGAAAGGGTCGCAAGAGGTCGGAAGTCGTGCACCACGCTGGGTCGTGCTGTACGTTGCAGTTTTTAGCACAATACGTCACAATAAGCTCCACAGACCAAGGGCCCTGCTGCACGTCGTGAGCACTATGCGCAGCCAAAATCCCAGCGACCTCATGCGACCATCTGATGTGACAACTCAAATTTCATGAATTCGACGTGACGATGGTGTCCAGAAAGTGAATATCTTTGGTGTGAAACTTGTCGCACACGTGCACATTGAAATATAGCATAATACAATCAAGTCAATGTATTTCGCACGAGAGTGTTTTACTGTGTGAATGAAAGTTTCACACGCTGGGATTGCAGTTCGTTTGAAAAATCATTTTCGAACATCTCATCGTCGAGCCGGATGGAGCTGCCAGCCAAGACCGCCGACGCCACGGACGCCGTCGTCGTGACCGTCGCTGCGTCGGCGCCCGCCAGCGACGAGGCCATTCCGGTGTTGCCGTCGAGTCCATTCTGCTGCTTCTACTGCCTCGACGACGGCAACGGACCGGAGCGGTCGGCGACCGAGCTCATTGCACCGTGCGCGTGCGCCACGTACATCCACCGCGACTGCTTGGATACGCTTCGCATCTCGTCCCGGATGCCCAACGCCATGACGCACTGCGGTTCCTGCGGCGAAGCATACACCTTCCTCGAGTCGGGCGAAGAGGCCGAGTACAAGCGCTTGATGCGCAACGCGCAGCTGCTTCGCTTCCTCTTCGTGCTTGGCGTTGTCTTCCTCGGTAGCTGCATCATCTGGCTCATCGACCGCGGTACGCCCAAGTCGTTCAACTTGCACTGGAACGGCATGGACGGCCAGATCTACGACACGATCGGGCTCAAGAGTTGCCCGCGACTGCTCGTGTACTTTCTTACAAGCCTCGCGCTCACGGCCTTTATCATTGGCGTCGTCACCGTCATGAGCCTCTGCGTGCTTGGCTGCCGCGACCCGGCCATGAGCTGCTACTGCCCGGGGTACTACGACTGCAACTGCGGTGGTGGCGACTGCGGCGGCGACGCAGGGGCCTTCATCCTCATCTTCGTCATCGTTCTCTTTGTCTTTGTCGGGCTCTACATGATGCTCATGGCGATCGTCGGCGCCTTTGGCAGCACAGTAAACCGCATCGGGCAGCGCCGCGTCCGCGCCGTCGAGGTGCGGTACCGCCAGGTCCAGAACCTGCGACCCATTCCTGCGACCAGCCACGTCGCCACCATGGTCTAGTCGACTCGGTCGCGTCAACTTACATGTTGACCATTTTGCAAGTTTCTTTCTTCTCGTCTCTATACTCGTCACGTTTGTGGTTGTGGTTAAACGAGCTCTACCGGTTGGGTGGTGGACGTGCGCCATGCGGTGCAGCCTGGAGCGAGGGCAGACTCTTACGGTGCCCAGTGCGAGGGACGTGAGCGTCTCCGGGAGCATTGAAGATTGGATATCGGCACGGCCAAGAGACTGGTGCCATGTAGAAGAACGCTACGCGGAAGCCCGTGACGGCGTTCTAAGCACTGCAGTCGCCCGCATACGCATCGATTTGAGCAGCGACGAGCGCGAGGCAAGGCCACCGCGCTTATAGAGGCACATGGGATAGCGTTGAGAGAGGTCATGACGAGTAGAAGGGAAAAACGTTCAAGACGCGTTGCCAGGTATGGATACGGTATGTGTCCACTGAGATCGCTGCACGCTTTCTGGCGCCTATCCGTTGGCTGTTTGCAGAGACAAGTCGTAGCTACCGCCATCCCTGCAAGAGGACACGGCGCACCAGCTTTGAAGCAACGGGATGTGCCATGTCATTGCTCCCGACGGTCTACACCAAGCAGCTCGCGATCGACCAAAGGTGCAGAAAGCATCAAACCGTCATCTTGTGTTGGTGGATGCAGGGTGTACGGTCTGCCGATATTGCTTCTTTTGTTTGGATGGCCAACTCAACAACTCTTGTAGTTATAACCACTGCTGCTAGGTAGTGAACTCATGATCCCCGTCGACGCACATTAAATACTACAGTAGTAGAAGGGCGATTTTACATTGAGCTGTACCGAAGTGGTCGCAGATCGCGAATACGCTGGTCGCAGTGGGCGAGCACGCGCGCTTTGAGAGGTGCGAGGATGTCGACTTGGCCCGAGAACACGAGGTAGATTAGAAAACACCCGACGCCACCAACGACAAGAGCCAGTAAAACGACGTGGTGGAGGAGCGCGTGGAGGAGCGACTGGTCGGGGTGACGCTCCCAGACCACGTGCGATAGCGCCGCGCGAACTAAAGTCACACCGCACACCAAGAGCAGCAAGCCAGCACTCGAGCCAACATACACGAGCGTAGCTTTGGCGCGACTGGCGTCAGTGGCGAGTGGGCACCCTGCGTACACGTCGAGCTGCGAGACGAGCAGCGCCTGAAGGCCCACGACGAGCAGGAGAGCAACTGCAATGTAGAGGCGACTGTGGCCGAGGACCCATAGAAGAAGCGCGGGTGGGCCGTCTAGCACGTAGCGCAGACGGCATGTTGGGCAGTGCGTCGGGGCGTCGGCGGTTGACGACGTGGCGCGCCATCGCTCGAGGCAGTCGCGGTGGACGTAGCTTGTGCACGCACACGGAGCGATGAGCTCGGACGGCGACGTCGAGCTCCAGCACATGTAGCACACGGCTTCCTTGATCATCCTCGGTGTCTGGGACTGGCAAAGAGGGAATGGCACTGATCGTGGTGGCTCGCGAAGCCGCCTGTCTCGCAACTGCCAATCACACGCCCATCGTGTCTTTTTCCTCCAATCAAGCACCGTTCGTCGGTACATTTCAACCAATCGCATGGCCGATCATGAACGTAGCGATCTTGCAGCATCGAACGAAGCTTGAAGTTGGGTGCGATTGAGCCCTACAGGCTGCTATGGTAGTCCTGTAGTTGTCAGTCCTCGACGTCTCCTGAACGAACACACGGGTCCTTGAAAGATGCGTGATGACTAGAGATCGCCATCAAAAGAGAGAAGAGAGCTTCGACGACAGGAACCTCGGATAGGTCCTTCTCGGTCGTCAAGACCCTTGTCGCGGGAACGAGAGTCGATGAACAAGGTCGTGCTCGTCAGCACTCTGTAGAGTGATTGGCATGACGTCATCGTGGCGCTTTGACAATGCACGTCGATTTCGGAGGCCTTTTCTTCCCACTGACGACATCATCGCGCTTTGATTGGTGGAAATGCTCTCTATTATCACCAATCCGAATCGTCTCTGATGCACGGCGCGATGCGAGTGGTGGAAAAGATCGTCTAATACGGCGCCGACGTCGTCGTCTCGAGTTCAACCTGGAAGACGCGCTGCATGGCCGCAAGGACGGCGTCTTCGACGTCGACCATGCGAACGGTCGGGTGGAACTCTTGAATGCTAGAGACAGCCTTGTCCTCGAGGCCACAGGGCACGATGCGCTCGAAGCCGGCGAGGTCCGTCGTCACGTTGAGCGCAAAACCATGCATCGTGATCCACTTGCTCGCATGCGTGCCGACGGCCGCGATCTTGCTCTTGGGAAAGGCGTGGCGCGCGTCGGGCACCCACACGCCCGTGAGGCCATCGACGCGCTCGCCCGCAATGTCAAAGGCGCCCAGCGTGTCAATGACGACCTCTTCGACCTGCCGGAGGTACCAGTGCAAATCCTTCTTGAACGGATCGCGCGTGAGATTGAAGATGGGGTACACGACGAGCTGGCCCGGCGCGTGGTGCGTGACCTCGCCACCGCGGTCGACCTTGATGAGCTCGAACGCCGTCTCCTTGGTTGGGTCAAACTTGACGTTGGCCAGCGAGGCGCCGCGCCC